AAAAGGAGCTGCTTTCGTCAACTTTTGAGGCGCTATGACCGGGCCCAGTGTTATCATGTGTTGGTGCTTGTTGATGCTACGTCCCAACATGTGCAGTTTTTTCTTGCAAAGATGAGCTCCCTGCCGAACAATTCCTTCACTTTCATGCATGATTAAGTGATTAAACCAGGTCATTCCTTTGGAAGGGTCATGAAATTTTGGGTCCTTCTTCGCGGGGGTCCTGGACGGGTGCGTTAGTTTTCGTCCTGGACTCTTTCAGGCCGTTGCGGACATCTCTGGTGAGACCACGGTGATGAAAGAGGACCTTGAGGAGACGCGGCTGGAGCGCAAGCAGTAGTGAAGATCGGTTTTTCAGGCGAAGGAAACAGTAGTTCCAAGGTCTTTGGTGGTTGACACGCTCAAAACCACCCTCCAAAAACTCTTGGTCGAAGTTGCTTTCACTTGACGTTTTCCTCCCAAAAGGATTGGGATTCTAACTTCCATCTTGTTCTCTCTTGTCGGGAGTCCAAATGAGTTCTTTGGAAGTTCACCGTTGCCAGGAGCGCGCGCCTCCGGAGGTGGTCTCGGAGCTCGCGGCCGCCTTGGTGCAGGAGGCCGTCGAGAAAGGCGGACCGCGTGGGGTGCGCGCGGGGTGCGCGCGGGGTGCGCGTGGGGACGCAGCTGGTTTTTTTGGCGTTCAATTAGCTTCATTTGGAAAGATATCAGATTGAGATAGCTCTATGTTGTAAGGGATTTCAATTTCCACTTCCATTTCGAGGTCGCCACAGTACCAGGCCCCCCACTCCGGACCATCTCTGAAGAGGAGACGCCAGACAGATCTCCGGGTTGCCACGGTTTGAAACCCGAGTTGGAGACGAATCCAAATCGAGTTGGAGTTGAATGAACACCCCAACTCCAACTGGTGTCCCAACTCCAACTGGTGTCCCAATCAGTTTGTGTTCTGCAAAAGACATTCAGATGGTGTTCCCCGAAGCCTCGCTGGTTCGAGGGTTGACTGGTGACGGTCCTGTTGAGTCGTCTTCGCAGGTGCTGACTTCTCGCAGCACTGGCTGGTCTCCAGAGAGAAAGGTGCTGTGAGGCCGATATCATCCAGCAGTGATGTCCTTGTTACTATATAGTGATGCTTACTAGTTCACTCCACAACAACCACTCCTTGATCAACCAGCAACCAGCCACCAGCCGTGAATTCTCGCTTCCGCTAGGGTCCGGGAGAACTTCCCAGCCATTTGGCGTGAGCTGGCGTTGGCGCCGAACACGGAGGATCTTTTGGGGGACCTGGTGCAGCGCTTGAGAGCCTCTTGGGCGGAATGATGGAGTTGGATTGGACGGGATCTATTGGGACTTCTGGTGGTTTGCAGGGAGTTTGTGGGGACATACAAGTCAAAGGCATTTGAAGAATTCTTGGATGGGTTGAAGGCAAAGCTAGCTACCCCAAGAGAATAAGCAGCTGGAACACTAACCAGGTCCTTCTCTCTCTCTCTCTGTATATTACATATATATATACACACATACAGTACATATATATATATATACACGGCTCAAGGCTCAAGCCATTTCTGCTCAAGCTGGTCTGTCTCGCCATCGACTACGGCACTGGCCATCCTCTACTAGTACACCCCTGACGAGAAGGAGGGTGTCAAACCCTTGGAACTTCATCCCGACCCTTGCCCTGGTGACTAGTGCTTCTTCATAACCAGCTCCCTGGACCAGTTCGAAGAGTGCACTGGCATCCTTGTCCTGGCTCAGGCCTTGGGTTGGCTAAAAGGGCATCATGACGCCTTCGAGCTCTGTGGGATGGCACCGAGCGTACCAAGTATGCCAAGGATCCAATTGTCACAATTGGATTTGGCAGGACAGAGTCAGGGAAGGATGTGTCTGCAGATCTTGTGGAACAGCATGGTCCAAGCCGCCTCATGGGTATGCACCTAGGTCTCCAGCGCCCAGACTGGGCTTTGGAAACAGCAAGGACACCGCACTTCCAAAGTGCAAAAACTCACAGGGGAGTTGTTGGTCTCCTCTTGGGACAAGCTTGATCCAGGGCTTCAACAAAAGCTCAAGGAGATCGGCATCACGCCACCTCCACCAAGTCCAGAACCTGACTTGAAGGACGTGCCCGGGGACAACTTAGCCCAGCTTCCGGGCCCTGTCAAAGAGCTTGTTGAGAAGATCACCAAGCCGCAGCCTCTCTCACACGAAGCAGAATCTTCAGAGCAAGATCGATGCTACCAAGAAAGCCTTTCAAGACCTCCTTGAAGAGATGAAGCACATCCAGACCAAGATAGAGCAGGAACAGGCAGAACTGAACACCACGAGTTCAGCCTACATGTCCTTGGTCCGCAAGCAGCCTGACCCAGTACAGTTGTGAGAGGAAACTGACGCCAAGGATCCTGTGCCTGAGGCAGTTGCTGGATTCATCAGCACCCTTGGTGTCAGTCTCACCCAAGAGCAACACGAGCAGCTCAAAACGATGCTCAAGCGGCCTCAGCAGTCCAACGAAGAGGACACCAAACGTCGCAAGACGGGTGAGGGTGACAAGGACATGTCTTGTGGGTAACACGCCACAGCAGGCCTTGCAGCGTGAAGATGACAACCGCATTTTGAATCTGGCTTTCTCAATGGCTTTTCATGGAACAGGGGAATTTTCAGTCAAGTTGCAGGGATTTGGACAACTTCACTGAATCTCAAACTCATGCGCTTTCGGACTCAAGCTTCCACAGCAGAGCCCACCCAAGGGCTTACGGACCTTGGAGGTCCACGGATGCGCCCAAAGTCAAAGGGGGCGCAGTTTTGACGACGGTAGCCTTGGAAGAGGAGGCGCCGGCCACTTCTACCTCAGAGCGGGTCTCCAGGGACACCGCTTCAACCGGGACCTCCAATTCTCAAGCGCTTGCCCGTCTCTTCACGGACATTGGAGGACTACAGCGAAACCCAATCGATGAAGCTCAAAAGCAGCTTTTTCAAGTCAGTCAAGCAGACCTTCAACGGTCTTGCCAGGCATATGCAGATCATCCCACTAAGGGTCATGGGCAGCAGCTGCTCTCTGACTTACAGAGAGTCGAACACCTTGTTCACAGGCAGTTGGGATTGCAAGGAGATCTTCCTCACATCCAAGCCAACACGGCCCTCATTGCCCAAAATCTCACCAGCATTGCAGCCAATCCTAAGAACCTATGCATGCTGCCTTCAGATGCCGGAGCTGGCTCAGCAGTTTTGTCACCGAGCCCACCATGATTGGGGGCCGCTTGCATCAAGTTTCCGGACCTTTCTTTCGACTTCCAAGCCTCTGTTGCTCACGGACATACCTGAGCTTGCTGATGTTTGGTCACACTTTGATGACTCGACTCAAGAAGATGTTGGGGAGTTTGTGGGTCATCTTTGGTGCATGGCCAATCCTCCCGTAATAGGAGGCAAATTCTTCCACCAGCGGCGCAACGGAATCCTTGAAGAACGGGAACAAGTGCCGATCAACCTGATTTTCCCTCCGGGTCAGGTTAGGGCCTCCCTTGAAGAGATTGTCAACCTATGGGCGAATGGAGATGAAGTCCTCCATTTGCAGCGGTTTGAACAGCAACCACATCGGGCTTGCTCTGGCCAATACTGATGAGTCTCCAACATGCTCACTCCAAGGGATCAGGGCCTCTTTCGCAGCCTGAGACAAAAGGACATCCCATGGCAGCGTCCCTTTCAAGATCTTCCGCTCATGGAGAGACTTCAGGCTCGCAAAGAACAGTGGGGAGCCATTTGGCAGCCGGTGGATGAGATTTGAACCGGAGTGTGCAGATGACAGCTCGACATTTACAGTTCCGACAACAGGGAAGCCAAGCGGGGAAGCTCCTCGCCATGTCGTGTTGTGGGAGATGCCAAGCATGGTTGCAGACAATATTCTATTTTTTGACCGCGTGGAAGACCTGGGGCCATTTGTGCTGCTATGTCGCAGCTCGGTAGCTGAAGTTGCTCGCTACACAAGGGCCTCGATTGAAGCTCACCCGAAGCAAGGGCTGGTAGCGGCGGTCTGCCCTTCCAACTGAGCTGAAGCCACGCCTGAGCTGGCAGAACTACTTGGCAGTCAGGTCTTTGTTGATGCCGGTTCAGTTCGCAAAAAGTTTCATGAGATGTATGCAGAAGCAGATGGTGAACTATGTGTGTGCGCTGTATCCCTGGTTTGAAGTTGCTCAAAGTTCATTCCTTCGCATCAGGGCACCGAGTCTATTCAAGACTCTAGCAGAGCGGAGCACCGCCCTCCGTCCTTTGATCGCCAAGCACATGTTAAGCCTCATGGGAGATTCGCGCGATAATTGCACAAAAGCGCGAGCTCGAACCGTGCTGGCGTGTTGCAGTCCGGGCTTCGGGCGTCTTGGCACGGCGTGTGTTTCAACATTGTCCGTTGCAGCAAAAAATTATGAGAAGGGCGCTTGGGCTGCTTTGAAGCACGTGCTTGACACAGAGCCACCAAACAAACATCCGAAAGCATCAATGACTTTGAACGAAAGCCAAGACAAGGCACAGACCTCCCCTGCTGTATTGGTTGACGTTTGGCAATTTTTGCCCAAGTGGTGAAGATGAGAAACGCATGGTCCGACGACCCTTGATTGTGGATCCGGTGATGCGCGGAAGATGTCTCAGCACAGTGGACAATCCGACGGAAACAGACGTTGGAACCCGACAGTTTCCTCTAGCGGCGATGCCACAGAAAAGCGGCTGTCTGAAATCATCCTTTAGCCATAACATATATATGTACACATACACATTTTCATACGTTCAAGGATGATCACCAACTTTCTTGGTCTTGGTCATCTCTATAACAGCATATATATATATATAAACGAGTACCTTTGTTCGTTTCTCTGTCGGGGACCCTGTAATATGAGCATCGTTCCTGAAAACGGAAGAGTCACCCTGCAGTAAAACTTCAACAGATGATCTGGTACCCTGGTACCCAATGTGACATGGGTAGGGCACAAAGTCCAGACTCAGTGCTGCGGGGCGGATCTGGAGTTAACATCTGGTGCATGGACCAGTGACCAGAGGTTCACTCGACCAAAAATCCCCCCCCAAAAGGCTTCTAAGGAGCAAAAACCCTCGCGAATCGCCATTGAACATGTCCAATCTTCTCAAGGCTTGGACGCTCTCCTTGGCTGAGTGCTCCACGGCTTATTCGATCGCAAGGTGACCAGGGGGGCTTGGGTGGGCTTTGTAAGGCCTGGGTGGGCTGGTGATTGGTATTTGTCTGAGTGGTGAACATTTTTATTTGCAATGGAAGACTGCAGTGTACACCCTGTTTCATTTGCAGCTTTCCGGCCTGGGCCCAACAAGTCACAGGGCTGTTCAGCAATGGAAGTACTTGAAATATATGTGAACAGGTTTGAGTATGGGAATCAGAACGCTTACGTAGTTGGTCATACTCCCCCTAAAGGGCCCATTGAACACCATGCTTCCAACGGCTGCAAATACCAAGTGCGAATCTCTTCATAGACTGGAAGTTGTTTCACAATCGCACGCAATAGTGGTTTATACTGAGTAATCAAGCGACATTCCCTTAACTATTGATGTATTTCTGCCTATCAAGAGCCAAGATTGGCATCCTGAGAAGGTCTAAAGAGAACCCAGAAGACGAACACGAACCCTCTTTCCGTAAAGTCCTATATGACTGATGTTTTTTGCAGTTATTTTTTTAAAATGATTTTCGCAATCATCCAACCATGTGCGGAAACCACCAAGTCCTTCGTGTGTAGTCTTGGTTCATGGGGTGGCTCTTCCCGTTCGACAGAATGCCGAAACCGGGGCAGAATGTGTTGGCATCTCGTGTGGTGGGGGGTTGATTTGTACGAAAGAATTCCGACCATCCGAGCGATTGAGGTGGTATTTTCAAGCAAGGCTGAAGCAGAACGGGTAAGGTCCTTCTTTTGCCCGGGCAAAACACATTCAGCACGATTTGAGGTTGCCATGCTTTTGGAAGTCCCAGCATTTGGTTTTTGGGGAACCTCTACAGGACAACTCCTAGTTTTGGGGAGTGGAAAGCCTGAAAGCCATATTTTCGGAAGGTCAACCAGTTTCTCCACTCAAACCAGTCTCCGAGGCCAAATCCGTGGCATCCGTCACGCGGCGACTGTGGCGGGCTTGGGATTGGTGGAAGGCATGCAGATTCAGCTCCTTGGGCGGTGGACCAGCACGGCGAGACGGGGGAGACAGAGATCACTGTGTATCACATCTTCTTAAGGCAAACACTTGTTTAGTTTTTTTTCTACTTCCAGGAACTTGAACCAAGGGTGCTGCAGAGATGTCACGGAATGTGTCCATTGCGATTCTGCTTGAGCAACATCCCAAAATGCATGGCCGCATGGTTTCCCCTGGGGTATAGGGGCCGGAACCATGGTTCCAGCACAGCGTAAACCTTTAGAGGAGGAATTGCAACCTTTTGAAGCGCCTGTAATTGCGGAAATCCTTTCTGAAATCTGCCATGATCGGGTCAGCATGCGGTGCTAGCACCTTTGATGAAGAGTTTCAGTGAAAACTGCACCAAACTACACACCATGTTTGGAAGGTTCCTGCCTGATCCTCAAGTGAGCTAGAATCCTAAAGCCCAGTTGCAAATAGGATGGTGCAAGTGAAGTGGCATCGATGACACACTGAGACAATGCCCTTAAGGCGAAAACCAACAAACGGACCAATCATGTTTGGACACATGCCATGCATACATCCCTGGTGTTTGTTGTCCAACCACCTGGTTGTAGTAGGAAAAGGCATGATAATCTACTTTTCATGGACATGCTCTTCGAAAGCTGATCTTTGCGGAGTCCATTGTCCACTTCAAGACCTTGTGTTCCTTCAACTTCAGGGCAAGGCACAGAAGGAAAACGGCTCTTTCTGTGCCCGGCAGAGGTGCAATCACATCCAAGAATGGTGTGACACAGCAGAAGTCCGCCTGCAAGACACTGAGGCTGATGGGTTGGTGGCGGGGTGGGTGGATAGGCTACAAATCAGATATCTTTGGATCATCTGAGACGAACCAAAGCGCAGGTCTCACGGGACATCCGACCGGTGAAACATCCGGTTTGAAGGAATCATGGGTATTCGAGGTTTCCGGGAAGGCATCTTCAAATCCCACTCCTTCAGGTCCCTGACTGAAAATTTCAGACTCCGCCCCGATCCTTGGAGAAGACCGCTGGACACCTCCCCTTCACGCCTTGTTTGGGTGTCCTGCCATCCTGCCACGCCTGCCACAAAAAAGCCACGCATCCCCACGCGGGGGGAAAAGAAAAAAGAGAACACCTCCTCAGTGCAACACCGCCTCTCCTGAACGAGAATCGGACCCCACCGGGCCGACCGGGTCGTGCGGACCACGGCTCCAGTCGGCCAAAGCAGCGCTGGGGAAGGAGCTCAAGCGGAACAGGTGCGACGGAGAGAGGTTTCGGCCGGTGAAAGAGGGCGACCCTTTCAACCAGATAGAAACTGAACGACCCCCACTAGAGGAGAGTGATCTTTCCTAAGAACCCTCTGGCAGGTTTCTGTGTTTGTTGCAGAGTCATTTTCATCGGCTAAAGAAGCTGGAGATGCCGATCAGTCGTGGCCAACAACGCTCCACTGCCTCTAGACTCTAGACCTGTTCACCTGGGACTGGCACTTCATTCCACTTAAAGCATCATGTACCATTTGTTTGATGCAGTCTTTGGTGCTCTTCTCTAGCCCAAGAGCCCGCGCTTGCGCATGTAGATCTCCGTCCAGCACGGCACCGTCACACCCCTCTAACTTGGTCGCCTCAGGCACCAGTGGACTGCGTTCAGTAGGGTTCAATGTGCTCAACATAGCTCAACATGGCTCAACCTTGAGGCTTTTCCAAACATTTTTTGGGGAGTGGTGTCAATATAATATATTAATATATATATATATATAGAGAGAGTATATTTTTTTCGATGAAATCCCTACAAGCACCCTCCTAAGCCTGCAGAGAAGACCTGTTGAAGGGTGCTGGTATAAGTGTCTAGACGTAAGATCATTTGGTAGGAGATCGAGAATCGTTGCTCATGCTGATCATTCAGCACACCGCAGGGATACTCCACCGTCTCGACGGTCAATACCACGGTCTCTCGGTTGCTGCAGGCAATGCTTGAAGAACCTCCGGGCAGCGCGTGATGGCTGCGAAGCTGAGAAGCGGAGGGAACCTGTGTCCTCTGGTTTCCCCCTTGAAGGCAGAAGAATCTCAAGCAAGTCCCTCATCAAGGCTGTTGATGAATGATCCTCCCTCCAGAATGGCTTTACATCTCCAGGCCTGGGGTGGTTATTCATCAACCCTCGGCATGATGCTTAGAGGTGTGTCGAAAGCCATTGACGGATCACCAGACAAGGTCCAATGCAAAGCCAGGGTTGTCATTTTTGTCAAACCAACGACCCTGAATGACCAGCGACCAGGAAGCAACACCCGCTTTTGTGGGTGGGTTCCCAGCAGCAACCGTGCTCATTTTGGAGTCGAGTTTTGAGGCCAAGCAGATACTACGAGTGAAGTGGGGGGGCAGCAACACTTGTGATGACTGGTCCATTCGCCCGCAAAATGGTGGAATGACAGTGGCATCCCATTTGCATTTGGCAATACCGGTCCTATTATGTTGTCTTGATTGAGATATGAGCGGGCTCTCACCAAGGCTTTGTGTGATCAGCCGCCTTTAATGATAACTTTCGTACACCCCCAAGTCGAGACTTGGGAGAGGTACGATGCCCATTCCGCACCTCTGGTGGAAAGAGAGGGATTCTGCGGCTGTTCTTGGCGGCCCAATAAGGCTTGGCAGGCACCCTTCTGAGCAAGCGTTCCAAGGCGGGCTGTTTTGGAGCATGCCACAGTCGCAGACCCTCTCTCTCTCAGGTCATGCCATCCACTTGGGCCTCTTCAACTTTTTTGGGTTCGAAGCTTTATCGGTTTTCCTCAACTTTCCTCACTTCTTCGAAGCCGGGACCCTGGATCTCCTGGATCCTCAGTCCTGTGCTGACCCGCCCCCGCCACCGGTCTCCGGTCTTCGCAGGACGTGGAACCCGACATCCGCCGGAGCTGCTGCGAGGCGCTGCAGCGCTGGGCCGAGCTCGGTTGCGAGGCGAAGAACGGACGGGAACCGGTCGGGTGGTTCCGAGCCAACGCGGGGACGAGGCGGTGTGGTTGCAGAATAAGCAAAAAAAGGGGGACCAAATAAGTAGTAACAAGGTTCGCTACGAACGGAACAAGTGCATCGTTTCTAGTAACAAGTGACTTACTAGTAGTAACAAGAAGCTATTAGAAACAAGTGCCTTACTACTAGGAGCAAGAAGCTACTAGGGGCTCCTGGCCTTACTAGTAGTAACAAGGTTCGCTATTAGAAGCATCTGGGGCGGTCATCGATTCGCCGGCGAGGGCCGTTGGTGGGACCTACTGCATGGGGCCTCGCCCCCGCAGGTCACTTGAGTTCTGCTCCGCTGATTCGCAGGTCACCTGGAAGCAATACCTCCACTTCTTGATCCAGGATCGCGAGCCCAAGGCTCGTCTTGGGTTGTGACAAGGAGAGTGGACTGGATGGCACAATCCTCAAGGTTTGGTCGTTTCTTGTGGACCCCCAGCTTTTCAAATCCTTTTTTGTAACCTGGGGCGCCAGTGCCATCGAACCTCTGAAACCACTGTAACATCATCAATCTCTTTACTCGTACTTTGGAGTCCTCAAGACAACTCCTGTTCGGTGGACGAGTTTGGTCGCTTCGTCCCACAGATCGAAAACCGTCTCGGAGATATTCGGAGATCACGTCGACGAATGGCTCCTCTCCTGTAAGTGGAATCTCAGAAATTCGATCCTTGCTTCCTTTTTCGGTGACGGGAAACGCCCACGAGGGCACCGACGTTGGACCACGGAGGTTCGATTCCGCACGACGGACGTTGGACCGGAGCCTTTTCGAACGACCCAAAGGACGAGCGAGGACCTCGTCGTTGGTTTTTCTCAACGGCATGCACGAGTGTCGTGAGCAAGCTGCGTGCAGTGCATATACAAACAACAAGACCCTTATTGGATGAAGATGGTGTTCATGGGGGATACCAGAGTCTTTCTCCGAGTCACACGATATTTCAACATCTATAGCCACTTTTGAACGGCAAAATCAACAGGCATCACCGAATCAGCTCGTCATTTCTAACCGAAGCCGGATCGGATCGGCCAGCGGCCCGGCGGAGCCCCGAACGGGGCCCGGCACAGGTGCGTGCGGCTGCCCTGCAGGCACTGGTGCCATTGCTGCGGATGCGGGAGGCTGCACCGCTGTCAGCTGAGGTGGGAGAGGTGTCAAAGACTTGGAAGACATAGACTGATACTGAGACTTAACTTATACTTAGATACACAGATATCCTTTTGAAAGGCTTGGTTTCAGGCAGCCAGTTGCAGGCAGATGCTCAGAAAGAATCAGAAAAGGTTGAGAAACACGCCCGCACAGTGCGAGAATCGTTCTGCGATCCCCTATGGTGATCACTTTAGCCGAAGTCAACATCTGGCGTTGGCCACGCCCAGAAAGCCCGTCAAGACATTTTGGATCATTTTGGCAAGTTTCACTTGGATGCTCCAATGCTGCTCAACTCCAGCAACCTAGCTATGCTGGCTCCATGATTTTGTCGTACTCAACACCACCTTTTCCTAGTGGACTGACAGCTAGGGTGGGACAGTAATGGGAGCGAAGTGACCAACGTTACCATTGACTGACTGACCATCATTTCTTGTCATCATTGTAAGTCGCTTGTCAGCTGCACCTACACGGGAGCAGTACATCTTAGCATCACCCGCTTGATTCAGTGCTTGTCATGGGAATTTTAAGCTCGCCATCGAGCGGAAGTGAAACCTCCGTCCTGGGGCCATTGAGGAACTCAATAGCAGTTCATAGTTTCTTGCAGGTCATGAACCTGTTCACCTCCCATGATCAACCTGTTCACCTCCCATGATGTTTACTCGTCTGACATCAGTTCAGTGATGCGTGGGTCGTCTGTGTGAACGTGGAGTTGTGGTACTCCTGGGTGTCGCGCGTGGGTGATCGGGGGTCAGGCCTTGCTATGGCCCAATGGGGCATCATGTATGGAAAGGCAGGTCTGCCCCTCAATCTTCATTTAGACTCTAGACCCTGCTTACCAGCTGAAGCGCTGTCACCATGTAAAAGAAAGAGTGTTGGGCTGCAGGGTCAACCTTACAAGGATGGGTCTCTGGTGTTGTCCACATGTGTGAGAGACCTGTAAGAAACAATAGTTCAATGTTCAATCATATTTGATGCAGTGGATGAAACGCAGATTTGTATCCTTAAAACATCCATAGTCTCTGGTAGAGGGTTGACTGATCCCTACTTCTTCGCAGGGGTTCCAATATTGAATAGACTCACTTGATGCAGATGTTCCTCGATCGGTCAACGTCGGCTCCTCGGACCTTGGAGACAACCCGCCTCCAGGTGAAATCAGTGGCCGAGGAGCTGCGCCGCTGAGATGGAACGTCCGAGTCGGAGTCGGGGGAGGAGTCGCCGAGGAGCCGCTTGCAGGTCGCCACATGGAATACGGATGAGAGATGCAGGAGCGACCGGAAGTGGGGAAGTTCAGTTGTTTTTTTTTGGGCGGGGGCGATCCACTTTGGAGCCTCATCTTTCACTCCTTTTGGAACGGGCTTCCGCTCGAAGCCGCCTGGAAGACGGGTTGCGGGTTGCGGTGCTGATCGATGCTGAGGCCCGCGCGTGCTGGAGCGCTGCCAGGACCCGGATGCCACCGTGGCTGCGGCCGCGCTTTGTTGTGCCTGCGCGCTGGCGAAGGCGGAAGTGCTCAAGGAGGACCCCCCCAGAAAACCGAGATCTGGATGGGTGACGAACGAGCGTGCGCGGCACTGGGGAAAGACCGCGCGGCTCAAGTAGAGTCCCAGCCTAGCGGCCTTGTGGTGTGGGCATCGACATGACTTAGAAACCGGTGGCCTTTCGGTTTCACTTGCCAGCTGGAGAGATGGACAAACCGATGGATGAAGAGATGGTCTGATTTGTTTCGGTGTTCTTGATTCGTTGCCTGTGATGGTTTGAGCAAATGTCAAGGGTGCACGAGTGTTGTCCCATTTGTCGTGGACCCAGTTAGGACCAGCCCACAGAATCTCCCAAGGTCCATCCCCGCCGCACTGCTGCACACATTCGCTGCATGACGGCCACACATGTTTCTCGCACGAGACAACGTATGGCGGCGCTGGACGGCCACTAGAGACCTTGGTGGATCCATGCAAATGAACAGACCAGACTACTAAGGGAAGTCAACCTTCCCAGAGCTTGGAAGCGCCTCCTGACCCTCAGCCAAGCGGCTTTTCGCGGTGCGGGGGACGTCGCTGTCGCCGTCAGGAGGACTTCGACCCCCTCATTGATCTCCTCTGGGACGCCGAAGCGGCGCGCAGGGATGCCGCCTGCATCTTCGTGAGCCGCTTCGTGTTGAACGAGGTGAATGCCGGGGGTGGTCATGGGACGGGAAGATGGGGGAGGGAGGTGGTTGTGGACCCAACAGCCTTCGAGAAACCATGGCCATTCCTTTGCATGGGTTCCAGTTCCAGCCTAGATTTTTTTAAATTCATAATGAACCACGTGATGCTTTTGAGACTGGAAAGCTTGCTTGAAGCTCGCTTCGACCCAAAACTTTGGCGGATTTCCTCCAACGTCCATGGCACTCGCCCTCTCACACCCGCACACCATCCCACCCACACCCCACAAGCCACCCCTTTCACCATTGGCAGCTTCCGCTTTCGCTGCTTGCCGGTGCGGTGCCGCGCAGGATGTGATGGACCTTCCGGGCGGCGCTGGAACGGGCTCCAAGAGGCTGCAAAAGGGGGTCGAAAGAGAGAAGCTGAGACGAGGGAAGAAGAAAGGGCCCCAAGAACATCCCCCAGTTGGGGTGTAATGGAAGCTTATGGGTCTGCAGTCTTAAGAATAAATAATGACTAAAGATGAATAGAGGATTTGCCTTGAATAAAGAACCCTTATCCTTATCTTATCCTTCAAACAGCAAGTATGGAAAGGAAGACACTGGGATGCTGAGTCTTCCGCCGCATGGGTGTCAGTCTCTCATTTATATACTGTGCGGCCGTCAGATTGAAAGCTAAAAACCGAAAACAGTTTTGCTGCTTGCTTCTGATTGGTCCAACACTGGCCCTATGAATGATCGACTTTTGTGAATTCCTACCGTCGCTGAAGCAAGACGCTCCCGTCATGCCTGCCATGCCTCATTCCTTGCAGCTTCATTTTCTGCTCGATTCCAAGCGAAAGCCTCACTTTTTGCAGTGTCAAACTGCAGCCGATAGATTGAGATCCTCCCGGAAAACTTACTAATCCTTCCAAAGACCATTAAAAGAAAGGATGACCTGGTCGTGTGGTACAACATCCTTGGTGAAACAATTTTTCATGGTAGTTTGCTAAACTCCATTAAATCAATGGCGGTTCCAGTTCATTTCTTTTATTCACGACACACCTGGAGGACCATCTTTTTGAACATCATCCATCTCCGAAACGCCGACGGACATGTCTTCCAGGCTCTTGGAGATGTTGCTGGATTTCCTGCATGAGTTTCTGGATGGCCACTACGAGCTCACGGAGCGCCTCGTGGCCGCGCTCTGGCGCAAGGCGCGGCGGAGGTCCTGACGCGGCGGAGACCACAAAGGCATGGGGGGGATGTCCTGCGAACGCGCGGCAATGCAAGTATTTTATGCTGGGGCGCTGAGGTCGCTAGTCTTGTTGAATGATTGTACCTCCCAAGATCACCTACTTGATACGCAACCATTCCCAGATTGGTGTTCGCCCAGAAGGCCTTTTCCAGGGGCCTAAAGCTTGAAGACAGGAGACCCAGAGGAAAGGACTCCCTCAAGCCACTGAAACATCGTCTTCCTTGTCTCGGATGGTGCAGGGTTTCTTCGGTTCTTTGATGCTTGAGAAAGAGGTGATGAAAACACCGATCGCCGACGCGATCACGCAATTCCATGCAATTCCTCCAGTCATTTTGCTGAACACAACTGGTCGCGTTTCATTTTGCCAAAGGGACGCGATCTGGCTCGATCTGTTGGTCGACGCCCTGGAGGCCTCGTGCTTGGAGGATTGGGAAGCGATGACAGCGCTCTTGCTCAGCGAGGAGCTCAAGCCGGAGCAACACACGGTCTCAGCATACCTGGCCGAGGCGGTTTTCCTTCCGCCCGGTGGGGCCTGGTGAAGGGGAAAGGGGGGGAAGATGTGGTTGTCGGAAGATTGATTGAACAAAGAATCATGCATTCCTGGGTTGAAGCAACTCGGACAGCAACGGAGAAGTTCGATTTATCGTGGTTTAGGGCCTCTTTGCCGCAGGTTACCTTTGACTACTGGCCAACAAAAACGCAGATTTAGCTTTGCCCCCCAAACGGACTGACAGACAGAGCTTGGTGAAACGTGCGGAACGGCACAATGAGCCCTTTCTGCCAGGCGACGGTGCGATGGGCTGTGGATGAATGGTTAGGGACCGGCAGCAGCCATTCAGAGGCAGGGGAGAGACACGGGTTAGTGTCAAACCTCCACCAATCTTGCATTTTCTACGTCTTATGTCTATGCATTTATTGTTCTTGTCCTTCCTGATTGGCATTGCCTGCCTGTGCAACAACATTTTTGTCGGGGAGGTCGCCTCTATCAAAAGTGGAGATGGGTGGCTGGAAGTTTGACCAAGAGAGAGACTGCCCTGTACACACATAGAGAAAGAGAGAGAGAGAGAGAGAGAGAGCGAGTGCGCCGTGTTTGGCTTCCTGACTTGGTTTTGTATGTTCTTGTGTGTTCATTTCTTGGCACCGTCAACAGAAGCCTCTGACCCTTTGATCTGCCACAGAGGTGCCTCGTTCACTCAGCAAGCCGACAGTGGGTGCCGACGCCGACAGTGCCGTGCCCTGTCTCAGGCACTCTTGCAGCATGCCGCTCGCGCCCTGGGCCCCCGGCTGCCGCAACTGCTGGCGGCGTTTCAGTCCGAGAAGGTTAGACGTTGAAACGTCTCTCCATCGGGGGTGGTACGGTCCGCGGGGCGCAAAACCCCACGGTGGGTGGTGGAAAGGTCCTCTAAGAGGTTGGGAGGTTGGGATTGGGTATCATCGTGATAAGTTCTGATGGATGACTTTTGGTTAAGGAGTCCAGCATCCTTCTGTTGAAGAATGACTATCTACCTCAAGCTTTCCGCCAACCTGAAGCTCGTGTGGTTTTTTTCCAAGTATTTTCCCGGCCCACGCCCTTGCGGACTCTTGGGTGGTATGGATTCTTCCATGAGTTACCTCAGAGTCGACCGTTACCTCCAGAGTAGACCCCTCAGGCCACCATGCAGAAGACCGCCTCGCTGTGCAGCCACTTACTTCGTTTCTGCTCTCTGAGTGTCTCGTCCCGCGTGTGAGTTCCCGGGGGTTTGCCTGGACTCCTAAGGACTACCAAGATCAAAGAGCCTGAACTGGCAAGGGCCTATGGGTTGGATTCCGCTTAGACGCCCCGGCCGAATCCACCATTTGGTCAAATTCCAAGTCTCCCAATCACAGTGAACCACCCTCTGCACCTACTGGCGCCTCCCGGCCCTCAGCGCCTGCCCCGCCCCGCCCGAGGTCCCCAGAGTTCGGGCGGCTTGGCGCCGGAGGCGGTGGTCAAGGTCCTGTGTAGTGCCTTTATCCGGCAGACAGATCCAGAGGCCGGGAAGTGGTCAGGGAATTTCATGTGTCGAACAGGGCCTGGAAGTGACTTTGAGACCTTTGGATTGAACAAGTTTTTCTCAGAGAGTATCGCTTGTAGCACAGGCTCTTTTGCCAAAAAGTATTTGGCCATGAATGTGACCCTTTACAAACAGATGAGTTCACCCACCTGACAATTGCTGCCAAGTGGACAAGCAATCAATATCAACCAATGACTCAACGACCCTGTGCTGAGAGAGGCACAACCTGCAAGGTTACAAACGACCAAGAGTTCTAAACGCTTGGTTGAACTAAGAATAAGAAACTGACACTGATGAGTCCAGTAGAGGGATGTGGAGGCTTGCTACAACAGCCACCGCATCGAAACGACGCTATGAAACTCATCTCCTATCATACTTAAGAGACCAACATTTGTCTCACATAAGACCGATCCACAGGAGAAAAGACCGATCTCCATCGTCTTCCCCAGAAAATCCATGGGATACGAGACGAGACAAGACGAGACGAGACGACCGGGTTTCCAGGCACTGGAGCACTTGGCTTTGGCCTTGGCGGCGTTGCTGGAGCTCAGCAGTGCCACCAGGCACTGCATGGCCTGGCGCATCGAGGGCGATGGCCCTGTTGGCGTGGAAGGGGGGCGGCATGGAAGGTTGTGGCATTTGGGGTCACCAGCGCTGTGGTTGGGGCAAAGAATGGCGAAGATCTGTATACAAAGGGAAGTTACATAGATGACTAACTGATTCAAGCTATTTCAATTGATTTGTTCACCGAAAAGAACTCTGCAATCTATAGGCAAGTTGTATAGTTGGTATAAATAGTCAACCAACACAAGCTGATTTGATGTCCTAGCCACCACACCTCCATCTCCAGGGGAGCAGTACATGACTTGGCCAAATCCTTTCATCAGAACTTCCTGCAGCTGGTACCGCATGCCAACGTCTCCGGAGGAGTGGGGACGACGTGCTATTTTACAGTTTGGGCTTGGGCTGCTTGAAACACTATGCTTGTGATCCTTTGTACAGTGGTTACACATGATTAACTGGATACCATCCGGATACTGTGTGGAAACAGAGGCTCGAACAGCAGGCATTGGTTTCGCAGCAATCTGCGTGCTGTTGTGTTCTTTTTTGGAGAACTTTTCCATCCTTGCAGCATGACTTTCCCCCCTTTGCGACCTTTCCGGTACAGAAACCCCGATGACGGTCCAGGAGCGTCACCTGATGGTGAGGCTGGAGCGAATGCGACCAAGTTGATTTTGTTTTTTCTTTCAGAAGAAACCATACCATCTGTCAAAGACACTAAAGCATTGAAGGAAAGAGCCAAGGTTTGAGCCATTTGCTGAGCTTGAACCTCGCTGCGCCTAAGAACCTGTGTTGGATGACCCGGAGAATGGCTACACCTCCAATTTCATTTATTTTGGGTGAATTTGAGGTGACTTATCTTTTTGTGGCTGTCGTGACGTAGTGATCGTTCAAAGTTTAAAGATTGTTTTAGGCCTTTGACTCTTGGCACAAACTACAGGCCGTTTAAGGTGCCCCAATGCACACCGTCGCTCACATTGCTGCTGGCACTCTTCGCCCGCCAGTTCTGCATGTTCCTCCACGCGCGCACGTGCTCGCGTGCCGTCTCTGGAGGTGCGGATGCCGGACTCCCTCCTGGCGAATGCCCAGCGCTTGCGCATCTTGACCAAGGCCTATGACGTGTCCCTCTGCGACGTGGAAGGTGGGGCGCGTGCCTCCGCGGACCGCGAGACCGAGTCGACGGGAACCGTCAGACCAGACGACCGTTGTGGTCGGAGTTCAGACGTCATGAGCTGGACAGGTGGAGAAGTCATGACGACAGTGGACAGTGTTTTGCGGGTCTTCCCCGTCTTCGCCCCCCCAACTTCGCCCTCAACCTCTTCGCCACTCTCTTCGCCCTCCATCTCAACCAGTCCAGCTTCGCCCTTCGCTCCATCAGTCACTCGCCACGGCACTCGTTCGCCCGACGCATTATATAAAGCCACGGTCGTGGGCGGTTTCGTCTCCAGGCTTCGTCACCAGCGCCTTGGACCTCGTGGCTCAGCGCGCCGAGGCCGAGTCAGCGCGATGCTCGGTGCAGGGAGAGCTGGTGGCTTCTCGGCCATGTTGGGGTATGTTGACAGCTCATGCGGTGGAGATCAGGCCAAGTTGGTGTTCAAAGATGCAGAACAGAGGGCACCAAAGCCGCATCCAAGAATTCGACATGTGCCCGCCTCGAGTCAAAGTAATTACAGGCACCCCTGTAGCTTCCTCAAAGACCAGTTCAACCTGCATGGACAGCTAGGATCTTTCATATGGAGTCCGTGTGCAAAACCTGGCGATCCAACAGATCAATAGACGTCTTTTGAAATCCTCGCAGCCCAGCCTGGCTGGGGAACCCCCAGCCACGCGGCCATCGAAGGTTATTCTTCTGGAGCTCCTCACGCTCATCTCCTTGCGCCACGCTGCACAGTGCTCCGGACCGCCCCTGCAGAGCGCCCTTGGTGCGCGGGATGTGCGGGATGAGGTGCAGCTGAAGTACCTGGATGAGATGATGAATGAGCTGGGGAATGGAGATTAGATGATTAATTCGATGATGTATATAAATATAAATCGTATACATAGCAAATATATGCAACTATAATATAAGAAGTCTTTCATTTAGAGCCTAGAGACTCATTGTCAGGGGTGAGAGAGTGGCGGAGTGGCAGGATTTAGGAGCCCAAGGAGGATTTGGCAAAATTGCAGAGGAAGATGATTGACGCAACCCCCCCTTGAACCGGTTGATTATGAGAATGTATGACAAGATGTCTGCGACGGATCTGCACCTGTGGCGTGGGGAAGCCCATGAACACCTCAACAGGTTGTGAAGATCAGAGATAGGGTCCTTATCAAGCTGCAAGAACACCTGAACCAATTAATTGGTCAATTAATTTCAAGTAATGATTGGTCGAGGACATCAAGAATGTCACCGTTCAGATGTTCGTGTGATCATGTGCCTGTTCAAGATGTTCAACAAATGAACTATATATAGGTTTTGCAATGTCGCGAGTTCTTTTTCGGGTTCACGGGTGGCACTAGTGTCATGTGGCTTGCCATTTGGCCGCTCTCAGGCAAGCACCAACGGCTGCAGAGGATTTCTTGAACTTGGCTGACTGGCAGCACCCATGGGCGGGGTTGGTGGACCTGCGGGAACTCTGGTACCAACCAAACACCTACAAGATATGACAAGATGACGTTCTCCGAAGATCCAAAGTGAGAAGTCAGGGGTCAACAGAAGAGTACCTGAAACGACCCTCCTCGGAGATTTCGTCTCAAAGCCCGTCTGGGAGACAGTCGCTCAACGGACAGCGGACAGACACGACAGATCCGAGAAGCGGAAGGCGTTGACTCGTGAACGGAACGGCCTTGAATGGAAGGATTCTCCCTTTTGGGGTCCCAAGCACCATTGCTGGTTGGGAGACGTCCAGAACGATGACTGACACACGGCCAGTTCGATGGTGACCAAGGCCAGGCTTCTCCTCCAGAGGGACGAGGATCCGCGGGTGCGCACCGCCGCGTTCGCTGGAGCCTTGGCCACGCTGAGCGCTTGGTGGAATGCCGCGCAGCAGAGTGAGCAGGCGGTGGGTCTGCGTCGAAGCAGTTCGGGCGCACCGGAATGGGAAAGGGAAAAGGGAGTGGATTGATGCTAAGTGACTGAGGTCTTTTCCTGGAGTTCTGGGGGTTGTCCACTTAGAAGGTTTTAGTTAGAAGTTGAAGTATGTCCAAGTAGTTGTTTGCTCTTGGTGCTAGCTCCAGAAGGACAACTCAAGTCATTTAGATTCATTTGTCGTGTTTGCTGACGGCGAGACCAGGTGCAGAGGCCCCCAAGAAATCCGGTCATACGGACGTTCCCATCCACCACGGGAGGCGGAGAAGCCTTGGTCCTGCGGATGCTCGGAACAGCTGCAGCACGCGCTCAGTGACCACTTGGGGAAGCTCTTGGCAGAGGTGCCATGATCTTGTCTGAACTTGAAGGGCAACTAGATGTAATCAGGGCGGCCCATCATCCACTCACTTGGGGTCTAAGTGGGTCTAAAGGGCCACCTCTTTGGAACTTTTGGGCTGTTCTTGTTCCATCTTTTTTCAATATATATATATACATATTTATTACTTTTTATTGGGCCTTCGTTGAGAGATCCTCACCTTGTGTGGGGGACGAAGGTCTTTGCAGAGGTTACCCAACACCAGTCCCTGATCCCTCTCTGATCCCTCCCTGATCTCTTCCTCTTTCTTCGTTTTGGGGTGCCTTTCTAGGCGAATACGGTGCCCACGGACTGCGTCTTGGTCTCTGGGCTGGGCGAGCCCAGCGCCAGCTCAGCCTTCTCACGGCTCTTCGTTCTCCTCCAGCAGGCTCGCCCGGTCGCCCGGTCCGGCAGTCCGCCCGGTTGGGGGGGAGGTTCACACTCCAGGAGTGAGACCGGAGTTTCTCCAGGAACCCTGGCACATCGCCACCGGCATGTCCTGTAGGCCCGTAGATGTGAATTGGCCACATCCAGAACCTCACATACAATCTCGCAAGAGGATTGTCGAACCTATTTCATATTGACACCTCTCCAAACAACACCATTTTGGGGCACCATGTGGGGCGCCAGATGGTTTCGTTCGCCTCGGTGACCACCACGACACCCAACGCGGTGCCCACCTTTCCCTCGCCAACGCGGTTGGCGGTGCTCACGTCGTTCAGGGCTTGGCCGAGCCCTCCTCATCTATGCTGGATGGCGAGCGCGTGAAGGCTGCGCAGCTCTGCTGTTTGATGGTGGCCACCTGCAGACATCCTGAGGCGGACGGCCTGACGCGTGATGTCGGACGGCTGTTGAGGTGGTCGGATGAGTAGGTGGGACATTGAACATATTGAACTTTAAAGGACCGTTTCGCGTGGTGTGTCTGAATATGGAGTTCGTCCATGAATTTCAGGATTTCACAGATTTTCTCTTTCAATGTCAGCTTATTTTCAGGCACAGCTGTTGCATTTCTTGTTGAGGTGGCTCTCAGCAGTCTCCCCTCTCTGGTCCTGTCACTGCCGCTTTCGCCCCGGGATGATCTGCAGCAGGCGGGGGCAACAAGTTCCCAGGGAGATTTGGACTGAAGTTAGGGGCGAGGAGTTGCTTTCCTTGTTTTGGAGAGAGTTATACATTATGTCATTTTTTTGTATGTAGTGTCTATAAATCCTATTTGCCTACGTATACGATCCTATTCACTTTCTTCTGGCACCTAGCTGCCGAGCTAAGGAGTGTTTAGGGTTTAGGGTCCTTCCTATGCAACTGCCACTTGCACCACTTGGTCGCTCCGCAGCCTTTCTCGTCCGACCTCGATGTCCGGGGGTCGAAAGCCGACTCCAGGTGGCCTGGACCTTCCTTCGGCGGCTCCGAAGCGAAGCCCATGCAGGGCAGGCGGAGGTGGCCGACGGGTCTGAGTTGGTGTTGCGCGGTATTGGACGTGAAAGATAAACACCCCGGTATCATTGATACCTGATTGTTTTTTGACCACGGGCTCGGATCATCTCGAATCACGGATTTTGGGAAGATGATGTTCCTCAACACAGCCCGTAGCTTTGGCATGCTGGTTTGCAAGGCACACCAAAGAGAGAGGTCCCCGAATAGGGAGCTTCGATGGTTTGAAAAGCATCAAGAGCCTGGAGGTTTCTACCTTTTGGGGATCACCATTGAGTAGGACGTTTTGTGACCTCGGTTGGATTCGGTTGGATTGGACACACTTCTCTCCCTCCGCCGAGCCGCTTGTCTTGCCCCCACTTCCATCGGACAGTGCTGAGTGCTCAGCCCTGCGCGGGTGTGAGGAGTTTTTCACGATGCTTTTGAGGGCCGTGAAGCTTGTGCACGAGGAGACCTCAGCAAATCACTTCGCATCGCGAACGTCGCGTTGCTGCGAACGGTGCGTGCTCGCGATCGCAAGCCATGTGCGGTTCCTGGTGGTTTGGTTGCGTAGTGCCTTGATTGCTTAACATGCCAACAAGTCTAGTTTGAGATGTGTGCTGTTGCGAGTCTACCTGATATAGATTTCCTTTTGATAGCCTGAGAAGGCAAACGGAGCCGTTGTCTTTTTCAAGGAACATAAACATGCTGGAGATCTATTTGTCCGAAGATGCAACCCTGCTTAAGGAGAACACCACAGCTGTTGCGAAGGACCTCTCATCGCGCTTGCTGCAACATGTGGGAGTTGGAAAGTGGCTTGGACCACCGGTAAGTCTAGTGGTGCCTCCCACACGCGATCCCCATCCAAAAGCCTTTGGTCATCTAGTCTCCACAGAGTCTCTTTTCTTAGTCTCAGAACGTCATAGCATATCCCAAAGGGGAGCCATTCATTTGAAGGACGAATTTAAGTTACCGCTTCTCCAAGAGGACTTCCATTCAAGTCGTCTACTTCGCCATACCGCGACCTCTCGGTCTCCGCGACCTCTCCCGGTCTCCGGAGCCGAGGCTGCAGCCGAAGTGGCAGGACGCTCTGATGAGCGTCTTGCGGAAGGGCGTGGCCCACGCCTCGCAGGGCTGCAGTGAGGGCTTCCTGGAGGCCCGAGCCGATTCCGGTTGGTGTCAGAGAGTCTTGGACGGGAGGTCAATGGTGAATGAGCTCACCTAAGATGGATGATTTGAATGAAAGAAAGCAGTGATGAATCTGCTACTGCTTGGATGGTCGTCCGCTTGGGTGGATGTTCGCCCACGGATCACGCGGAAAGACCAGCGTTTCTGTTTGCAACTGTGGTCATAGCTTGTACAGCAAAGGTGCACAGACTTCTTTAAACCAACCCTCAGGTCGCATGTTTTTGCATTGTCATCCATTTAGCATTTGCCCAGCATTTGATGGGTTTTTCTGGTGAGCGGGGTCTTTTGGTTGGTGCCCTGGTCTTTCACTCCACATGCCCTGGTCTTGACCACGGACGACCACGGACTGCGGAAGGCCAACGAATCCAATTCAGTCCTTTTTCAGAGACGAAGGGTTGCTGAAGAGAACTGGAACATGGGCCTGCTATCCCAATACCTTCAATAAGCATGAATCAATCGGCTGAGGTTGGCGTCCCAGGTCTGCTTGGAGTCGGGATGGGCCGACCCAGGTGACAGGTAGGGTCGCCGCCGCAACCTGCAGGCGCTGACCCCTTGGATTACCAAGCATGTGGCCTGGCATGGTGGAGGGAGGGAATCGGCACTCCAGATCCCCTTTCGTCACCCCTTACTACACCAACATCCATAGAAAGCAATTTGTGACCGATCGAACTTCGTGTTCCTCATGTGGATCTTGCACCCCCTTCGACTCTTTCCGTTTGGAACCATGTGACCGTCGTGACCGCCTCTCCCTCCGATCCTTTCTCCCAGGTGGTGGACGATCGTCGCCTTGAGGGCTTGGGCACGTGGGCCAAAGAGCAGGAGAACGAGGTGCGGCGAAGAGGGAGAAACGCAACGGTACGGAGGAAGCGGCGAACGCCTCGCGCGGGGGGTTTGGCCTTTTTGCACGGAATGAAACGGGGAACGGTAGGAGACGCGCGGGGCGAACTGCGCAAAGTGACATGCAAGAAAACACACGGGCGCTTGGCATCCTCCTTTTTGGGTGGGAGGATGTCTGGCGGTTCGGATACGGATAAAAAGAGCTTCGGGACCTGCGGTTGGGGGATGGACCTGAAGGAGGACACATGTTCTGGGGATGGCGGACTTCTTCAGCCTCTTCTCACGTTGGAATGGTCAGACCGACAGGCACTGCAGAAGGCCGGCTTGGAGAAGTTGCTGGAGGCCTGTGAGGTCACGGCCAAGAGGACCACGGAGGACCCCATCGGGAGCATGGGAGCAGACCTGTGCGGCGATTTGGAGACGATTTGTGTGGCGGGGACGCTCTGGTGGGGGGGCACCAGCAGACTGCTAGCAGACCTTCTTTTGCAAGCGATTGAAATCCACACCGTACATCAATGCCTGTATTTTTGAACATCCTCGTGATGGGAGGAATTCCGAATACCCATGGCTCGATAGGGATGAGAAAGGATCTCGAGGCCGCACCAAGGATGTCGAGGAACGCGGAATCAAAGCAAGACCTCTAGCCGGCCCATGAAAGGGTCTTGAAGGCTCCCAGTTCATTGCTTTTGTACAATCTCTATTTTTGGTTTACAGGTTTTATGTAGACATGGACCGTCGTTGTCATATATTTTTCCCGGACTGGGCACCGCACGCAGGACACGCCGCCCAGCAAGCTGGCCAGCAGATGGGACAAGGGTATTCTTAAGGAGGTAGAGGGCAGGTGCCGAGGTTGGGTATTCGATTTGGGAACTCAGGGTATCGTATCGGTGAGAGCAAGCTTTGACTCTTTGCTTTTCTTATACACTCATTTTTTGGGCTAGGGGTCCCTGAAAAAGAGACCCAAGGAAGCTTGCATGGTTGGCTCCTGTGGGCTTCTTCCGAACAAAGTTCATTGGGCTTTGGGTTGTATTGAATCTGGTTTACTGTTGAAGAAGGGAAACCCTAAAATGGTCATGGTGGACATAGACATTCCCCAAGCACGCCCTATCTACAACCTTGGGCCGCTTATGAATAAATATATACGTTTGGGAGGTCCTTTTTTTGAACCGATATTTTCTTGTAAATCAGAGCACAGTACTTACATTTCCAAGGATCTCTGACAGAAGTTGAACATGGCTTAGGCACGTGGCCTTACACCTTTCTGATAAATCACACACACACACACACATACAGGTGTATCACATAGGCTGCCCCTATAGGAATCAAGAGCAAAACCTTTGGACACAGTCTCCGCGCAGACTGTAGGGACTTTTTCCATCAGCATCAGTAGCAGCAGTGGTGGTAGTAGTCGTGGTAGTAGTAGTAGTAGTGGTCGTAGTAGTAGTGGTAGTGGTGGTGGTATGGTGGTCGTAGCAGTGGCAGTGGCAGTGGCAGTGGCAGGAGCAGGAGCAGGAGGAGGAGGAGGAGGAGGAACAGCAGCAACAGCAGCAGCAGCAGCAGCAGCAGCAGTAGAACTAGCAGTGGGAGTATTAGCAGCAATACTGTAGTAGCCGTAGTTGTAGTACGTACTGCTAGTTTGAGATGGCTCTTTCCCGTTTCGCTGTGATTTTGCAGCGTCCGAGCGTTCTGTGCCAAGGCAAGCGCCGCAGAACCACCAAGGGCAATCGTCCCTGAGCGAATCGGGGGGAGGAACTGGGCGTGTATTTTGATAGGGAGGCACCCAACCGATCATTTTTTGTATCAGTAGTAACAAGTGCCACGCTAGTAGTAACAGGTGCCAAGAAGCTAGTAATTCCAATTAAATTCTTATTGTTAGTAGTAAGGCACTTGTCTATTTTCCTTCTTCCAGGTCGCCTTGGAGGTCTCCCTATTTTTGGACACCCAACATCACCCAGCTGCATCTTGGGAGGATTCCCTTGGCCTCCTTCAGTTTTGACGATTGGTATGCCTGGTATGCATCGAACCCTTTGTAGCTAGAATGCCGCTGGCCGTGGCTCAAGAACGCCGGAACCCGCAGGTTTCGGACTTCCCTTTACCAGTGGAATTGGATGGTACCCTACGTTTGAGTCCTAGCAGACCCCAGTTTTTTCCTTTAGGAGCCCGAGTCTGGGCTGAAACCTGGGAGGTTTGTGAAACCACGAAAGGTGAAGGTGAAGGTCTTCTCTACCGTTTGGGATATATTTGATTAGCTTCATCTCAAAACGAAGGGACGTCCTCAACGAGAGTCTGTGTTATATAGTCTTCATTTGCTTCTCCACACCTGCAGTTTTGCTTGGGTTTCCTCATTCTCAGATACCTCCAGCTAGTCATAGCGCAGTTTTAATTACGTGGAGTCCTTATTATTCATTCTGTCACCTGTTTGTAACTCGAATATCCTCCACTCCTTCTCATCACAGTCTACCATCCGCCATGCGCGTTTCAAAAAGAACGCTGTCAAGACGGCCCGGCTCAGGAAAGACGCCAACATCCACGCAAGAGATCAAGGATGCTATGGATCTTCATTGAGCACATCCATGAAGGCCAGCCGCCGAGTGGTGTACACGTGGGTTCAAAGGGGTACCTTTCAAGTCCTTGGTTCAGGGTTTTAGGGTTTATGCAAACCGCTCTAGACTGTATGACTGGACTGTATCTGACTTGTTGGGAATATTTGGCCCAATCTCAGGGGTGAGGGACAGTCTTGGCACCAGGTCCTCAGCACAGGTCCGCCATTTCCGAGGCTTTTCGTTTAGTGCTGTTTACATTGATTGTGTAAGGGGTAAGTCAGGATTTACATCCCGCCAGATGAATTGTGTAGGAATCAAACGATGTGAACTACTCGTAACTGAACTAGTAGCTATGAACAGCGAATGGGTGAAACATCCATGGTGGTGGGTATAACTAGTTCAAACATAAGTCTTCAACTGCTGACCGGTGCCTAAGATTTATGCAACAGAGATTCCATCTATTGAGCCAGATGGATCATGCAAATGGGTCCATGCAAAAAAGTACATAAAAGGTAAAGCAACACGAGCAAGACAGGTTGGTTTGCCTTTTCAGTTTCAGCCAGGTTGCAGCCCTTTCTGCTGAGATGAGATGCCCCGTGAAAGGGACGAGGTCGGTCTTGAGTGTTGAGGATTTAGCCTTTTGGCATGCGACCAAGACCCCACGAAACCACTATGTAAATGCTTCCCTACTGCATCTAGTATGGAAAAGTGCAAAGAAGAGCACAGCCAAACCTGGTGGGCGGTTTCCCTTAGTAAGACAAACCTAGATGCATGTCGCACTAGACACTGTGAAGGTGCTCAATCCTCATTCACAAGCTCCAGATTAGCGAGGGAGCGCTTCTGGATCATTGGGCCACTGGCAATCGTTAGCCAAGTCCCAACCTTTGTTTCTGCTTTCCATGTGGAAGAGTCACTTTATATTATCCAGCGTATAGTGTAAAACGAAGAGCAACAGAAGATTCCTTTTTGCTCTTCCTGTGGTCCTAAATCCTTTGTCACGCTATTCTTTTCCAGTGACAGCCCATCCATGTGCTTGTTACACCACATGGTGATCTCTGATCACAAGAATTCTCTTGTGCCCCATTCGCAAAACAGGTATTTCAAGCCCAGTCCGCCTGGCGACAAGGTCTTTCCACCTGTCAACATGGGTGCGACAGGCCCGGCATGGCCTGGGTCTAGACGCCTTCCTCGCTGTTTGCTCAGACTCAAAGTCCGGATGCTGTTGGATGCTGTCGGTTTCTTTGAAGAAATGTTATGCATCTACAACCTTCGATCAGAATCAGCTATGGTCTTTGCAAGTTCGTTAGATGACTTTGTGAGCTGTAAAGCAGCATCCAAAGGTATTCGGCCGTATACAGATGGTATACTCTCAACAATTCTGGCACACGGGGCTGCTCGCTGAAAGTGAACACTTTCTATTTGATTTGTATTGACTTTTGGCAAGACATTATGCACTTGAGTTGGAGCTGTATTCCAAGTCAAAGGCTAAATAAAGCCCTGGACGCCAATCAAGATCAGTGACATCAAAGTTTTCACCCTTTCACGCGAGCAGCACTTGGCGCTTGGGCGCCTGTGGCATTGTCATCGAGCAATGTCTAATTTGAGCGATGCACGAAAGGAGCCAAAAAGGATCGTGCTTGTGCTCCTTGGTTGTGCCAGGGTGTTGAAAAATAGGTAGGTAGGGCAAACATTTAGCAATTGGGGTACCGGGTATATAAAGAGTATATGTGTTCAATACAGCTGAGGGATTCAGTGGGTTCCGTGTGATATTGAAGATGTTGAACAATTGCATTTTGGAGTAAGATTCGAGAGCGCGCTGAGATGCCATTTTGAGATATATGATATAGTATATACACGTCCACATTTTTACATATACTATCTAGATTAAACAATACATAAGATGTATACACACATACACACATGTTTTGTGTTATCTCCATCGGTTTATAGCTCATCTCGCAGCGCTCCGGGCTTCGGACAGCGTGGAGTCGGGGTGTCCGCTGTCTGACTTCCGCCGAGGCATCGCATGGCAGCCCTCTTGCAGAAAGTGTTGAAGGTGAGACCCCATGGGTGGTGGGGTTTCTCGCACCATCAATGATTGATTGAGAACCAGGGAATGAAGAAAACAGAGGCTGTTACAGTTCAGTCTTTCACGTGTTGGACCTTGTTGGACTTGTTTTATCAAGCGTGTGCTGAAGGAGGTTTATGGAGTATAAGCATCTCTGATGGCGACTGAGTTCCTTTCTGTTGGTCTGATTTGGTCTGCCTTAATGCCAGCGGGAAAACATGTCTGCATGAGAAACAAAATCGTCCGGCGACATGTAAGGAATGACCAGACCAAAATCTGCAGGATTCTTACACAACTTATCAAACATGCCTCCGACCTATACACAGCTTGTTCTTCCTGGGGGTTTTGCTCAGAAGGATCTTGTTCGAACCAAGAACTTGCTCCGGGGGCTTTGCAAGTGAGCCAAGACACCTTGAGGTCTTGGTGTCCCGTGCCTGCCAGTTGCCGCCCGTCTTCCAGGCGAAGCTGGGGACATGAGTCTCTTCCAAGATAGACCTCCCTCGAGAAGTCTTGGTTTGAAGCTTGAAGAGTGGACGTTTTTTGGGACCAGTTCCCACACACCTTGAGAGCATGTCTTTTTTCTGTTGGTATTTGCTCTATATGGTAAGGGTTTCTCCAGTGTTGCAGGTCTTTGCCCATACACATTGTTTGATGTGGTTACAGGGTCTGGGAACCCTCCCAGGCAGTTTGGTGGCTTGTCACACCTGCGTCTTTTCGCCCCGGGCGTCGCCTGGTGGACCTTTTTCACAACCCTCGCAGGTGGGTGCGAGCAAGAGTGGAGGAGCAGAGGCGCTGCTTCTGCGCCCCAAAGGGTGGGAAAGCCCTTGGAGAATTGAGATGCTAGGGGCTCCTGGCCTTACTACTAGCAACAAGGACGCTACTAGGGCTCCTGGCCTTACTACTAGTAACAAGGAGAGCGCTCCAATTTTCCCTGGACATTCGGAGTGGAGTCCATGGCTATCGAAGCGAGGCTCGGCTATCTCGGCTCTTGGAACTTGTGTAGGTTGCAAGCTGAGCACGAAAACACAAGTTTAAGATGTAGAAGGCAATTTTTGTCCTATGGTAGTTAGTAGTTGTTTTCAACTCGTTCTGCCCAATCCTTTTGTTCAAAAGTCACATTTAGGGTCAAGCAAAGCAGAGTACATTTGCACAGAATCTACGTCATGTGATGTTTTATAGCATGGATCCTACCGCTTTCCTACCACCTTCGACAAATTGGGATCCTCCGAAAAAGCCCACAGAGGCGACTCACTTTCGGGATGCGTTTCAGTCCTACCTGGAGCACTACTTCGTCAATGAGGTGGTTTGTGATGTGGCTGCGGCCATTTGGGAGATCACTGGGAAGCTGGAGGATGCCCGACGGTCAAGGGTCACAATCTTGCTCTCATTTGTGGGTGGCGTTCTTTCATTTGTGGGTGGTTGTGAGCCTCCCTCCCTTTCCTTAAGTGTCCACGTGGCTGTAGATCGATCCAATCTCGTGAGCCCATTTCAAGGGACATGAATGGGTTATGCGATTTTCAAGTGACCAATCCAAGACTTCGCCCAGGCCACTAGGCTCAATTTCTGGCGAAACACGTAGGACGTCCGTCTGGTCCCGCCGCAGGGTGCCGAGCGACCGGCGGAACGTGGGGAGGTGGGCTTTGGCACGCCGCGGCGGGGTCTGCGGCTCAGGGAAACGAGGAGGACAGCAAGGCTGAAAGAAGCGGAAAACGGCCGGACCTGGCACGCTCGGAGCTCCAGAAGTGGATCGAACGGCTAACTGGTAAAAGGTACGCTCGGCTGGAAGGCTGGAAGGCTGCTGAGCTGAATCTAAGGTCTGCCGGGAGACCGTGCGGGGATGCCCAGATTTGAACGACTTGGCCAGTGGATCGATGAGACCTTTGTTGAGGCCTGTGGAGTGATGATCTGCGACACAGAGAAAAGGACAGCCAGGCAAAGGCATCCAGAATCCAAATGGGATCAGGTCCTGGACCCCTATATATAGAGATCATCATGATCATCAACGCTACTCGCAAGCTGTGTAGAACCTTGGCCGTTCACAGCTCCTGGCAAGGTGCACACCTGTTTTTGAAGCTCCAAGCCTCCAAATGTCTCCCTGCAATCGCCCAAGCTGGCTGGTTGGCATGTCAGCAAGCAGGTTCTGAGGACAGGCTAATGGGGGAAAGAACGCCACCTGAGGTGGCGAATCTCCAAGTCCAAACTCCAGCCTCGAAAGAGACATCAGGTTTTTCCATCTTCATCCTCAACAGAGCTCTAATCGTTATTTCGGGAAGTTCCCCCCCCAACAGAAATCGCCACAGCCTCTAGCCAACAACGTCGCGCCAACAACACACCGCTTGTTGCCGCACGCCGGCGCCACGAGGCGCAACGATCCGGCCTCAGTTGGTGGCGTGCCACGGTGCCGGCCGTGGGGATCCGTGGGGAGCAGCCTGGTGGGGCTCAACTCTGCGGTGAGACGGTATGATTGGAAAAGTAAACAACAAAGTATATATTTAGTTATATTTAAATAAAATATGGTTGCTAATTATTTCAGATAATATTATGGTCACTATAATTTACTATAATTACTATCATGATAAAACCAATACAAATTAATAGTGACACCACCAATAATCCGTATACCTACATGTAGAGGTACATACCAGCAGAGTCTACATTCTACATAATAGCAAAGAGGGAGTATCAGCGGAAACGGTATGGCAAGAGAAACACAATGGGGAGTTTTCATGGACTCAAGTATATAGCTGGCCAGACCGATCTGTAACTATCCCAATCTGGAATCCGTAATGAGATGCAGTCTGATCAGTCCGCTCGAGAGCTCGCCAGGTGCGCCACTCTCGAGAGCTCGCGGAGAGCTGTGCGCAACTCTGTGGGCGACTTGCAGGTGTGGTGCGGAGAGAGATCTGGGCACAGAAAGCACCCGCAGAGGGAGAGAGCAGGCGAAGCACCCGCAAGGCCCAGATGGAATGACCAGAGGCTTGTTTCAAAATTCGGCTGCATGAACCTTGGAAATTTCAGAAGTTCATAGGATTTCCTGGCACTATATACACACACTGAGGTTGGAATTACAAGCTGCTTCCTCTGGTCCTTCGAATCTCCAGTTGTTTCATGACCCACTTTCTGATCCGTGACCCCTCCGCTCTTCATTTCGAGACCCATCCAACTGATTGTCAGTGCAGGTGAACTCCATGGTTCCAACGCTCCCGGTCCGCGGGCGGACCTGATCCGGGAGGATTCCCCAGACCGACTGACCCCGACAGACAGGTCTTCTGACCGAAGTGGGGCGCTTGCGTGCAGCCTTGCCTGGGGGCCGATGTGACGTGACTGGCCACGGGGGGCGCGGCCGGCGCTTAGCCGGCTTAGCCCCCCGGGGGGAGGCGCAGACGCACCAGGTGAAGCGGCGTCCACCAGGTGAAGTCCCAGGGTCATTGAGAAACGGTGGGCGGCGGAGTTTGACTGAAACGGTCCACCTGTCAGTGTCTGGTGTGGTGAGTTGTCACCAAATCCTCAGCGGAACCGTTGGAATCCCAAGTGCTCACATGGATGAACCAGGATGAACCCCAAGGTTATACTGTGGTGCCAGGTCAATTTTCTACGAACCGTTTTTGGAGTGTTTCACTTGGTTTTGCTTCCGGCGATTCTTTATTTTCCCAAGGCCGGGCCTTGTGCTTTGTGCCTACTTGTTTGGCCTTCACCTTGAAAAAGCACCTTTCCTGCCTGTGGCAGACTAAGGCCCGAGTTGCACAGGAGGGATGCCAGCCTCATGCGCGAGGTGCAAGGCCCGTCTAGGAAGGGACAGGGACCCTTTTTCTTCTTCAAGCCAGTCAGTGACTGGGATTTTGATTGAGTTCCCCTCCTCCCATTGGAGAAAGCCGTTTTTTAATGATACGGCGACCACCGAGATCTACACCATCTCAGATGTTTCGAAGGGCCTGCACCAATGGGAGGCCTGCAAGACTCATGACCAGCGGTCCAATTGTGGGCCTGCACCCAAAGCATTACACAACATTTCTAGATGTATTTATACAACCCCTGAGGGTTTTCCGACTTTCTTACAGCACTTCCTGGGAATATCTTATGCAGATCATCCTCCAGCTGGTGTCCAGTCCATTGGCTTTCTTGGATTCAGAACACCAATATGTGTGCTCTTCCTCACGTTTCGAAGGCTTTTTGGAGCTCCACAGTGGACCTCGATCAGGCCTTAGCACGGTGGGGGGGACCCAAAAAGGGACTCATGACGGCTTTTTTGACGGGACTGTCGTACGAGTGGGCAGCGTAGCAATGCGTACTTGCAAGTCAGTTGAGGGTGTGCATTGGCTGCGTCGCAGCACTCAGTCTTGTCTTTGTCAGAATGATTCTCAAGCAGGGCCATCCTGTGCTGATTCAAATCAAGGTTGCTGGGAGCCCCCAAATCAATGCACATACAATGTTCATCTATTTCTGGGGTTGACTGTGATTTTGGGACCAAATCACTTTTAACGGGAAATAGGACAGTTCACTTGAACACTGCTGACGTGTAGTCCTACTAGCCAATGCTTCGGACTGCATTGCACTTGGGCTCAGCAACTGCAAAGTTGATCGTAGTTTCTTCATGTTTCTTCCAAAGAGAATTCGGGGGCTGAAGAGGAGGCTTCTCCAAGCTAAGCACCTTTCAAGCACCGATCGTCCAGTTGGTTCTTTCCGCCGATCCACCACGACACCACTCACTCGCGTCTCCTTCTTCGTCCTTCGCTCAGGCAGAGCTCTTGGATTTGAAGCGACGCATGGAGGCGGAGCACGAGCTTTCAGAGGTGGCTTGTTCGGTGCTTTCTCGTCCGTCACCGGTGCGGTCAGAGGGGTGACGCTGAGCGACTGGTCGGAGGTCGATGGGGTGCTGGCACAAGAGGACAACGTTAATTATATAATTGAAGTGCTGGGAAGATGAGTGCTTCCTTCCTTTGCTCCCCGCTCTTGCTGGTTTGAGAAAGTGGATATTTACATTGAACAGGAAGGTTGTGTTGTCTTCGTCAGTCCAAAGGATGAGTCATTGATGTCATCAGCAAATTTGTCTCGATGTCACACCAACCCAGATGCACCAGATTGGATGGCAAAGGATGTCTACTCCACAATACTCCACGATACATAGAAGAGGATGACAAAAAGAACCACAACACACGGAACATGCCTTCCTTTCTGAGTGAATTTCCCAAACAGTTTTTCATTTCTCTTTAGTTTCTGAGACAAATCTTTTGAGTTCAAACGCCACCACACAATCACGCTCAGTTTTTCGATCGGATCGACCGGTCGACACGCTGTGGCGCCGATGCACATCGGGCGCCTCGTCTCAGGTCCAAGCGCGGCTTCGAGACCTCGCGCAGCGCTGCGAGAAGGCGAGACGGAGGCGGCGCGGAGGCGTCGCCTGAGTGAACCGGGAGCTGGTGGGAGTTGGCTCCCGGTTGGAAGCCAGAAGAAAAAACAGAAGAACCTTCCACTTTGGGAGCGGGTGGAGCGGGTGGAGCTCCCAAAGAAGTGGAGAACAATGCCAAGTGAAGAGTTTGAACTGATTTGGAAGATTTGTTTCAGACATTTTAGATCAGGATCAGGCTGTGTTTGTCAAGCTTGGGTTTGTTTGAGACATGAGTGGAAGTAAGCCAGCCTTCTTTTGCAGTCCTGTTTGTATCATGGGTCCTGATGTGGTAAGATAGACTTTATACCGCCTGTGTGCACGCTTGCTGTGGTGCAGTTTCAGACATGGACAGGCCCACAACTTTCCAACAGACTTCCAACCCCACAACTGATGCTTAGGAACAAGAAGCTACTAGGGGCTCCTGGCCGTACTACTAGGAGCAAGGACGCTACTAGGGGCTCCTGGCATCGACCTTTGCTCATCCCCCCCCACCCTACACTCGGGCCACGAGAGTGCTCCAAAAGTCCCCCAGGCGGGCGTCGAGCTTTCCTTGGATGCGGAGACAGAGAGTGGGGACCGAAAAGGGGGTGTCGGTGGAGAGACATCACGGATGGCCCTTTTGCAGTGGAAAGTTGAGTCACCTGCTGAGAAAGCTGGTGATGGACTGATGGACTGATCTGTTGGCGATGGACTGATCTGCAAAACTTGGGGTGTTCGTGTAACAACTGGTTCTCAGACACAAGTTTGTCTACCCCCCAAGGCAAAGGTCATCCTACCACCCTCTTGGGAGCAAGAGGCGTAGCGCCCGGTGGCCTTTCACTCCAGGCGTGGCGCCCACTGCTGAGGCCGTGTTTATGGGTGTCGTTTCGTCCACGTGTGCTGGAAGCAATGCCTTTGAAGATCTTTACGTTCGCTCTTGTGGGGTCTTACTGTAGACCTCTAGAACAGGCAAAGGAACAGCCCATTTGATCAGCTTCCCCTCATCGGCAACACCTGTCCCCCCCAAGAAGATCTCAACCTGCAGGTGCTCACCCTGGATGACCAGGTTTCAGTGAGCGTGCCGGCCATGCAGGCAGCGTTCTGTTGTGCGCCAACGCGTCTAAAATGGTGACCACATGGGACATGGGGCCACCTTCACCACAAAAGCGTTCTCGTCTCACTTCGTCCAAATCGAGATCATCGGCTGTGTCGGATCCCGTGACCCATGTTGACCTGCGTTGACCTGCTGTCGGCTGTCTGCCGTCGCACCTGCCGTCTGTCGTCGAATCGTCGCCGAAAAAGAGCGGGGTGGCGACTGGATCAGAGCAAGAGCAAGACATGTGTTTTAGGCTTTTACTTTCTATTTACACTCCAAGCACCAGAAACCGCGCTGACCTCGTCGAGGTTTTAGTATCAGCACCAGAACCACACTTTTGAGCCGCTTGGCCATTTGTGCCATTGGCAGACTAGAGCCTATGGATCCATGATCCACCCAACTAACACATTTTGGTTCAGGCCTTCGCAGCGCGTTCGTACCCGTCTTGCAAGGAGAGCATCAACTGCCTTCGGGAGGAGAAAGGGGGGCACGTGTCGAGCATCGTTTGGGAACGGGTTGATTGAAATGATGAGACACCTGGCATGAGGGCTTGGCACTTCTGAGGAACCACATGTTGAGCCTCTTGAGCGTTTTGGTGTCTTTTTTTGCTTCTCCCTGTGAAGTGACTACCATGCGGGCATGTGGGCATGCCAACTGAGCTAGTAGCCTATCTTCCCGAAAGGGGATTGAGCTGCGAAATTTAAAGGAGGACACCTGCACTTCACTCAGCAACTTCAATCTGCAGTTGCACATTTGAACTAGTCAACTAGTCACTCTGAAAAAACAGGATGGGTGCTAGTGAAAATGAAGGACTTTTTGGAACCGACCCTCCTTTGAAGTGAGCCATCAATTGTCTCACTGGTTCGTAAACTTTCCACCTCCATAAGGAGTCTCCAAGTCAGTGACAATGTCAATGAGCCATGACTTCCAGCGTATGGTGTATTTGCTTGTCAGTCATGATGAATTGTGATGAGTTCTCAGTTGTGAGAAGGCAGGAGCGGCAAGTACGGATCGATGGCAGCACATGCAAATGCCTTGCGTATGAGCCGCAAGAACACTCAGACACACACCCACACACACCCACACACACACACACACCCCCACACACACCCACACACCCACACCCACACCCACACTCACACGCACATGCACATGTACACACACAGACACACACCTTCACACACACACTCAAAAAGGAACACCCATCCCCCCCAAACAACCCACTGGGTCAGAAAACGACCGAGCTGGGTGGACCAACGGGTCCACACCTCGAGATAGACTTGGTCTCAGGAGCTGGATGAGATGGGCCAACAACTGGAGAGCTTCTCACAGCTGATCTCCAAGGATCGGGCATGATGTGGGATGAGGTCATGAGGTCAGGAGGTACTAGCTTTTGTGCAATCCCAAAAAGGACTGGCGTTGGTATTCGTCGAAAGCCACGGGTCAATTCCCAGGGTCCATGGGATCGTCTGCAGGCGAAGGGTCTAACGCAAAGCAGGAATTGGGCTGGTACACCGGGACTGCGGCAAACTCGAAGTGTTCTCCGTGTTTCGCGTGGCTCTCGGATGGACTGGCAAAGAAGAACGTTGGTGATGATTTTGGTGGAGAAATGCGCCAGCGGGCATGAGTGAGTCATAAGTCACTATTGGTGGCTGAATAGATGTAGCTCCACAATGCAGAGCTCACAAATCACCAGCAAAGCCAGCACGGTGAACCAACCAAGCACGGTTTTTCACGCCTCCAAAGAGCACGGCCAACCCCGCACCACCGGACCTGTGGCCTTCCGAAAAGGGTGACGGAAGGTGACAGGTCCCGGTTTTGGGTCCCGGTCCCGGCATGTGACGACTTCGGCTTCGGGGAATGGTGTTTTTTTTCCACGGCTCCGACGACGATACTCGCATCCCGGAAGATCGAAGAGGTTGATGAGTGTAGAGAAATGAGTCGGATTCTTTTTCCACCGATTTATTTGACCTGAATCCTGAACAACCATGGTTTTACGAAAGATTTTACCCTACAAAACGCAGATCCACCATTCCAAAACATGCCCTTGCACTTCGAGGGGATTGCGGGAAGACACTTTTCGGTTGTGTCAGTTCACTCTGTGTGGCCTTTGACCGATCCCTTTGGCGATGCCATTCGTAGGCCTTTGACCGAGTCTTCAGGACTCCGACTTGACCTGCCGGGGCTGCAGTGTTTGCTGACCCCACTTGGATTTGGCTAGATACGATGCCGGAAAACAAGGAAAAAGAACATGCCCAGAGGCTGAAACATTTTCACATACCCAGAGGGTGAAACCCTGCTGGTGCCCCTGCCTGTGCCAGAAATTTGAGCCTCCCTCCAGATCACAGGCGCTGGCCTGTTCAGCGGAAGCAGGGCGGAGCTGCTCTTTGCACAACATCGTGTGCTCCGACTCCCATCCCCAACAAGCCCCCCAAGTGGATCGAAGGTTCTCCCGGAGCATTGATGGATGTTTCTTTCTTTAATATGATGAATGACTTTCTATTTGGTTGAAGGCTACAGGACAGGTCTGTGCAATTTTGGGTGAGGAGCTAGGACTTCTCATGGCCCTGCCGTCAATCTGAGTATTTCACCAGGCGGCTCATGGGGAAAGGATGACCCCAAATGGAGGATGCGGCCCTACGAGACGGTGGTTGAGTCTATGCTGCTCGCGCAGGCATATTTTTCAGCTCAACGATCCACACAACCCTGCGATCCCTCACAGATCCGCTGCTCACCCGCCATGTTGAAGATCGTGAGCCTCGCCATCCTGGCCGGATGCCATGCTCAGGCCGGCTTTCTCTCAGAGGGGTGAAATTCCAAGGGGCGTTGTTGGGATCTTCCCAGACCTCTCTCTGACTTCAGTATGAAGTCCATTGGAAGTTCGTCAAACACGCACACCTGGGGATATCTGAGAGATGATCGTGGGTGGGGGTGGGTTGCAAGCCTCGAGCCAAAAGTGATTTTGTCTTCATGCTTGGGAATATCTCTGGGGGTGTAGAGTGGTGAAGTGATAGGCTTCTGAGTCCTTCCTTCTCAGAAAGCAGTCCTTCCTCCTGTTCGAACTCGTTCCGACCTCTTGAACCCCACGGGAGTTCAAGCGATTCGCGCCAAAAATGGAAAGCCCGTCGACCCGTCGACTGTCGCCAGTTGGTGCAAATCGATGGGAGTGGAACGACGTGACTCGGTGGAGTCGGATGAGTCCACGGGACGAGTCGATCGACTTCGGTCGAATCCGATTCGGGCAGCGCTGGGCGCTGGGTGTGAACAGGAAGGGTGCACAGGTCTGATCAGCAAAGCAAGACGTTGGCTGACACCGGGACGGCCGGGACTCTTTTGAAAAGGTGAATAGCTCTGAGACTCTCCTCCCCCGTAGTCAGCTGAGATTCGGTCATGTGAGCACGCTTGTGGAGATGCGAGGAATGCGCTCGATGAACCCCCACCTCGAACTTTTAACCGAATGCGCTCGAGATTCGAGACATTGGCTCTAGAAAGGGATATCTGAGGCGCAGTCTTGTGACTTTTTTGGGTGCCCGAAAGTCTGCCTAGATTCTGTGCTACAATGTTGACCGATTAAAAAGCCTCTCCCCCCATATGGAGATGTAGCACCATCATGGTAGGGGGGCTCTGTGAATCAACAGTCAACATTACAAGTTGATACTATAGTTTTCAATTGCATGGATGGACTATTCGGGTCCGTGCTGCCCTTTGTCACGCGAGTTTTGTCCATGCACTTTGAAGTCGTTTTTGTCCCTCTCCATGATCGATGGCCTCCTTACGAAGTGAGAGCAACCCCCATGGTAGTTTTCCAGTCAAACCAAGTCAAGTCGTTCCGCTTTCATCCTCAAAGCGTCCTCAATCTTCACACAAAGTCTTTGAAGATTGCTTGGGCCGTACCTTTTGGTCGTGGCCTTTATTACGACCCGTGCGTTTTTTGAGCGGATTCGAGCGGCGCGGTTTTGATGGGAAGAAACCGAAGCGCTGGGTGCCCCCGGTGACGGCGGAGGGGCAGATGGGGCGCAGAGGGCGGTCGACGGGTCCAAGGAATCCGTCCAAGTTCTTCTGGAAGATCATGGAAACGATGGAGGCGCATGGTGGGGAGCATGGGAGCACTTGCTGAGGTGAAAGGGTCGGGTAAAGCCGAGGATGGCACATCGAATGCTGACCTCGTTCGGACACAGCGGTGCCGCCGCATCGAAGCAGTTGTGCCGCACCCACGTTGGAGCTGTGAGGCCCGCACCAGAAAGGATGTGCGCCTCACCTACCGTGCTGTTGGCAGCAGCACTGGGCAGAGGGAGTTCACACAACCCAGCTCGGGAACCGATGCACAGCCGCAGGAGGCAGGAGGTGGTTTGGTGGGGTTGACGAAGTCCTCCGGGTTGATTGATCCAATTCTGGGGAGGCAAAAGGGTCTTGATATACAACAACCTCATCAGTGGATTCATGGTTGATTTTAAACATATCATGCATAATATGATATATGATTATACATTTGGCTCTAGAAACATATGTCAAGTGTCTTCACACCTCTGGCTTGAGTCCTGCCGGTCTCCCCCTCTGGATTTGACGCTGATGAAGTCCTGCGGGCCAAGGACTACAGCAGTGGCTTGACGGACTTCGGCTCGGGTGATATCCCTATGACCCTAGGTGCGCCAAAATGGTCGCAGAGGGCAGTGCACGGGCAGGCTGCAGAGCCACCAGAGACGTGGATGTAGAGCTGGACGTGGATGGGCTGGTGGAAGGTTTCAAACTCGGCTTCAACAGGATAGGAGCCGGTTCTGTTGGACATGGCGCCAAAGACAGTGATGGAACGTGTGTACGTACCTGTTGGTTTGGAGACGACTGGAAGAAGCTGGCCTTGCGTGGCAGTGAGATTGATTGGGAACTTGGAGACTCCATGGACTTGCCTGCCTGATGAATGATCTAGTAACTTATTACAACTTAGTAGCATCAAAAATTATTCCTTAAAGTTTTTGGCCATCCCTGTGCGGCTGGGCTGACCCAGGTGGGAAGATGAAGATGTCTCACCAACATTTGGACACTGGCACCTGTACTGACTTGGAAAAGTGCAAATTCTCAACCAAAAACACTCTCCGGTTCTGCCTCTACTGGTAATGTAGACTCTTGATTGACCCAGAACCATTTTGATGGTATATCAAGCCTCTTCATATGAGGCGTTCTTCATCAATAGCTGCCCCCTGCAGCCCCCGTCATCCCACTCCACCGAGAGATCGACCGAACTTCTCAGCCCGTTGTGCTCGGCTCGGCTCGTACGCCAGACCGCTACAATGGTCTCACGGGCGCCGGACGTGAGATGGTGCACCTGCCCTTCTGCATGGGCGCCATCGGTGTGTTCCACTCGGTCCCCGCCGCTGAGGCCAGGAACGACGGAAGACCGCAGAAGACTGCAGGATACTGTGTTTCCCATTTTTTTTTTGGGGGGGGGCGCGTTGTTTTGGGCGATGCGACATGATGCGACCCCATGGAAAGACTCAAGTTGAAGGACAATTGAAGGATGGAAGGCTCCGAACTTCCAGTGGTGCTTCAGCGTTTCTTTTTGTTTGGTCAGCTTCATGCAGCTGTATACAGCTCCCTCAAAACCCCTCTCCTACCTCCCGGTGCCGACCGAACCCGCGGAGTCCGGAGGTGGGGGACTCGGCGGGGCTGAAGTTGCCGCCCTGCGTCTTGGCAAAGATCTTCGATGGCGCGATCACGACCTGGGACCATCAGGAGATCTCGTCGGTCGTGGATGGCTCCGGGTGGAGCGCTTCTGTGGAAAACGGGAAGCGGTGCCGCGGTGCCTTCTCTCGGTCCGTCCACAGAAGGCGCGAACCGCAGGCAGGCGAACGCCGGAACGGCGCCGAGCGCTCGCACTGTGAGGGCGGAGAAGAGGGCGACTCTGCGGGCACGGCGGAGAAGACGAAGCGTGCGGAGAAGACGAAGACGATGGGGGAGGGGAGTTTCTCCATGTTCTTTTAAAGGTTTCTTGTCGAAGGTTCTTGTCGAGATCTACTGTAATTTGTGAATCTGGGAAGAGGGCTTAAAGAGAGAACATTGAGAGCAGATTTAAAACCAGAATGGAAGATTTCAAGGAAGACTCGTGGCAGCTTCCTCTTGATTTTGGTCGCATTCACCATCAGCAAGACCCTTTTTGTGGACCCTGTGAGATTTTCAGGGCATACTTCGACTCACTCACATCCCAGATGGACTTCCGCCTGTTTGGGGAACATCGCATTCCCTAGGCCCTCCACTTCGTCTTAGTGTCATAGTCATAGCGTGTTGGAGTGTACTTGCTCAAACAGCTTCAGTTGATGGTCCGCATCGGATGTTGGACCATGTTGGACAGCATCCGATGCTTTTCGATCGCTCTCGGTGTCACCAGGGCATATGAGGGATCGATTCGACTCAATACACCATGCACTGTGGGTTTGGTACTTTGGGTTGAGATCATCACCCGCTGGAAACACCATCAAACACCTACCGGATGACCTGGCCGACCCCCCCAAAGTGGTCATCACCACCGGCCCCCCGGGCTGCAGGAGATCAAGGATCATAACCCAAACCTCAATGTGCCTGCGGGTACCTTGATCAAGGCCGGATGGAGGGTTCGTCGTCCTGCGCCACTTGGGAGCCGCTGAGGGGTACCTGGTCCAGTTTGTATATGTTATGAATTTTGTGAAATTAGTTAACATATCACCAAGACCAGTAAATTCAGTTTTCAATAGTTATGTACAAGTTTCAAGTTGTTTGGTTTTCTCAATCGTGACATGTTTTGATCCATCTGTATCAACGGGAGTGGAGTGAAACCTGGCTATAGGTGAAGTTTGGCAATTCCAACTACAAGCTTAGCATAGGATGTGTTCCAATAAAGCTAAGGATCCTTTGTCTCCCTTGTGTCCCTTTGTCCTGGGTCCTTTCACGGCTTTCCAGCAGCAGAGCAGTAAGAAGAACAGGCTGTGCTCAATGCACTGCTATAATCCTGGGAGGACAACCCAAACAATTGAACATTGTTTTGAATGGCCTTTATCTTAAGGCATTTGGATTTCCAATTCCATTCTCTTCAAACAGGCTCACATCCGAAGGCAGCTTGGTGAAGCTGCAAGTTATCCCAGCATCGACGTACTCAAGGATTAAGACCGCCATCCTTCAACATACTGTCTGAGGAATTTCGGACCATCTCAAGTGTACTGGTGCCAGAACAAGGGGTCCTCTCACTCCTCACTCCCTTCTTTTGACACCATATGGTCCCAACAAATGGTCCTTCCAACACCAAGCCCTCTCAGCTTGACGCCGAACGAACGCCACAGGTGGGACACCGAACGTTGGGATCCAGCAGCACTGGTGGCACCACAGGACTGCTCTTCTCGCCTTCAACGAAGACCAAAGGCCCAATCTCTTTGTATCGTCCGGCCTTAAAAGAGCGGATTCGCGCATGGGAGAACTGAAAACATGTAAACAAAGAGCAAGAGATGGTCAGACCACAGTTAAATCACCAGCTTAAGTTTTTCGAAGGGTTTTTAGCATTGCGCAGCAGTCTGTCCAATTCAGGGGCCCACCGGCCCAAGTTCAGAGCACAACCCAATTGCAAGTCTTCCGTTACTAATGTTGGCATGCACATGTGGATGAGCGTGTTTGTTCCGCCACAGACCCACGCTCCCCTCCCTCCCCTGACCTGCAGCTTGCATACGGACGCAGGATACTTGAACGCCAAGTGCCCCGCCAGCTGGACACGCGGTGCTGGCAGCAGCATCGCTTGGCCCGCCTCCGCCGGCTTCACGGCAGTTGCTTGGAAAAAGCACTGTAGGAATCGGTCGAAGACTTATTCCCCTGGATTGCTATCCCAAAAGACCCTGTCCCAGCTGGCTGAAAACGGCCGCACGGGAGGAGATGGGAGGATTCCTCTCAATGGTCCAGGACGGTCCAATGAAATGAACAAAAGCTGCACGAGGACGCTCGCGGTGATGGAGCATGACGCGATAGCGTCCAGATGTTTGGAGATGGGGCGGACGAGCGGTCACCAGGGTGGTCTGTAGATTGGTTGCTTAACTGGATGGGTTTCTATCCAGAAGTGTGAGAAGAGAAATCAGGCTCACTCCGTGGTCCCTTGATGCAACTATGGAGCTCCAGGTGATGCTTCACATGACTCACGCTGGTGGGTTTGTGAGAGCATGAGGCAAACCCGGCTGGTCAACGGTTGGCCATTGACAAGTCCCTTGGGATTCAATACAGGTCTTGGACAAAGTCCATCACCTCACAGCACCTTCCGGAGTCTCAGCCTTTCCAGAGCGACCGTGTTTTGTGTTTCCAGGTCTCCAGATGGCTGGATTCTCTTCCAGCGTCCTTCTTGGGAGATGGTCCAGCATGGCTCGGCCAACCCAGGTGCAAGGCTCTGGTGGCATGGCGGACCACATTGCCACCACGCCCTACGCCATCGGTCCGGGATGCCCAGTTCGGTGAGGTGGAGCAGGATCCGGAAACCCAAAAAAGGCCTCCAAAGAACCCGCTTAGCTAGGGTGATTCAATTGGTCTTCTACTCGGTCCATGTTTTTGGGGTAACGAGAGAGTCAGCCCCCGTGAAGGCCTTAGAAAGGTTTGTCAATTTTTCGTCCATCGGAGACATGGGCAGGCTATTTGGATGCTGGACATGGACACCAGCGTGATTTCCAGGACAGATGTGACCCGTTGTCACCATCTGAATTCATGGGTCTGTTGTGAGTCCTCACAAAGGCGCGAGGTCCTCGTTCACGAGTGGAAGGTTCCAGTGCTGTTTGCCCGTTGGGTCGAGTTTCTGTTTGTGTTGGTGCTTCATGCCTGGGTGGCGATTTTTGAAGGGCACATGTACGAAACACCTTGATCACGAGAGACATGCCGCGTCCAAGGGTGGGGCTGTTTCCAGTCGCCACGTTGGCAGGAAGTGAACCTTCAGAACGAGGCTGGTACCTGGCTCACCTCCAAGGATGCCATCAACGCCATGGACGCCAACAACAACAACGGTGTGGCCGCCGCAGGCTGAACGAAAGAGCGATACAAGGTAACTCACCGGTCTTCGGAAGAAACCTTTGGAGTCCACAAGATGTTTGGAGCTACCCGATCGCTTCGTTGATTTCTTAGTATTTTCATGTATTTTCTTGCAAGCTCGCAGGGTAGAAGACAATTGGGCACCTCTGGAACACAATCTTGAACACACGAAGAGCTTGCCATTTTGGTGTAGTTCAGAAGTTGACGAGGTGCCCATAACTCACTGGCAGCGATCGGCAGGGTCCGCAGCTTCGGCAGGCAAAGCGGCTGTGGATGCCGGTGACATTCCCTCCAGTGCGACCGCTGACTGGAGCAGCGTCAACCTCTACCGAAAGGCTGGAACAAACACTTGGCCTATCGTGGCTCGGCGCGGAGGCCTTATTCGACAGTGAGTTCTACGGGCATCCGACAGTGGTCCTGGGTCCTGGGTCCTCACCCAAGCGGCGCGACCTCGACGGACTTCACGTCACCGACTGCTCGGTGGGTCACCGAACCGGGCTGGTCGGACCACACCGAACGGCGACACCGAACGGACAGAAGTGGCGACACCGAGCTGGTTTGGCACGGCTGTGCAATAGGACACAAGTAAACAACAATAACCACAAGAACACAAGCAACATGCTGCCCGCAGACCATCAATGTGCAGGTATTTTAGAGGAGACGCCCAACCCTGACCCAAGGAAATTATACCTAGGTTGATCGTCCAGCTTGATGCTGTCTCATACAAAAGACAATCCTCTTTCACTATATCGATGCTTTTCCGGGTTTGTCCAATCCATGAAGACACATGTCCAGCCCTGCCAAATTCTGCCAAGGTCTTGGTCTCGTACATCTATCTCAACAAGGCTGCGAGAGGGAGTTGGGCGGTGGAGATGGAGTTTTTGACAGTTTTCTCCCAAGGGGATCGAGCGCCGCTGGATCGAGGCCGGGCAGAAAGCTTTCGTGGTAACCGCACAAGTCGTGTGATCAAGTCTCATCCGTTGGCGTGGTAATTCCCATCGGTTTCGTGCTCTCCCAATCTCTCCCACTTCTCTTGGCGTGGTAATTACTGCACTATCGTGCTCTCTAAGAGGTCTTGCCACAGTAGTGCTCTTGCTGTGACCTTGAACACAGTGATCCTTTACAATTGCTCTCAACGGATGCTCTCTACAAGTGCTCTCAAGAGATTTGGTCAAAAGATCAATATATTTTGCAAAAAGATCTTGCACACACGTGATCTGAGATCTCGTGCAGCAAATGGTTCTAGATGTGCTCTCAGGAGATCTTCGTACAGTGATCTTCTACTGTAGATACAGATATATTATGTTATTTTTAAACAGGTGCCTGCTGCACGTGATGGGTATCTTTATGTGACTCATTGTTGTGCTCACGTAAACACGGTTTGGGATCTTTTGCTGGGATAATTGCATTTATAGGACTGACTGAACAGAGGGTCTCAAACCCAGCCAAGACTAACTGAATCAGCGTTGCCCAGGCCTCACCAGACTTGACCCATTCCTCGACCTGACCTCCGGTCCCCCCCCCACGACGCCGGTGCTGCCTCGCCGTGTGGCGCCCGTTTCGCCCGCCGTGGACTGAGGACATGTCCAGCTGGCCAGTGGAGAAGGTGGCGCTGCTCAAAGCCTTTGTCGACATGGTCCTGGGAGAAGGGCCTTTTGGTTTGAAGTCCGGAGCGCGACACTGGGGTGAATCTGGTGAGTCGGGCACCTGAACATGGTCTGGATTGATGAGGGCGAAGTGGAGTGGGTTTGTGCTGCAGTGGGTGGATGGTTGGCTTTGAGTGCACGGAGACCATCATGTCTTATCCTCGCATTCGCCTTTCATAGACATGAAGAAGCAACCATATTGGTCGATATATAATATGTATATATAATATAATGTGCAACGGTAGTTGTAAAAACATGTATATTAATGTATTAATGACTTGGCAATCAAACATACTAGTATTGCATCACACTACTACCATAGTAATATAAAGGTTGTTGCATCAATGTCGCCATAAGATCTTGCCACATGAGCATCTCTACCATCCTCTGCCTTCAGGCCAAGACAATGAATCCCCCTAGCATAATTCCATTGCCTCTTTTTTTGTCGCTCCGAGGCAGGACATGCTCCCGGACTTCTCCTTTAACCGCGTGCCTGCAGAGATGAACCAATGGTCCACTGTTTGGGCGTCGATCAGCAAGCCAACAGGCCTCACGGAGATGGTTCTGAAGACCAGCACTGACGCGCGCCTTGAACGCACACAACAGATGCACAAGCTACTTGAGAGTTTAGGTTCTTTGGGGTGGAACACCTTCCTTTCGCGTGCAAGGCTGAGGTGTTTATGGCTAAGGCGGCCAAGGGATTCTTTGGATGGTTTGTTCAGCGCTTAACGTGTGATCCTCATACCTGCAGTTCTGGTGCCAATAGGATGCTGATGTTGCTATACCTTCATGTCGAATCATGGTCCATCTATCACGGGACAGGATGCTCTTCCCCTCTCCAGGCCATTCGCCCCTCGTGGGCTCCTCAGGTGGAATGGCCAGGCGGAGAATGTGATCACCTCCAAGAGGAATTCCTACTCCTTGTGGAAGCTGGGTCATACCCTCAGCCCGAACTGGGCGAGGATGGGCGAATTCGGGGTGTGGACATGTTGGGCAGGTGCTTGTTTGGGGGTGTAGGGAGAAGAAGAATTCCAGAGGACTTCTGGGACCACAAGTAGCCAACAATACCTCGACCTCCAAATTGAAGGTGTTGTTGTTGTTGTTGTTGTTGTTGTTTCCATGCCATGTCTTGAGAGAAGCGACCTTTTTTGGGCTCGCGCGTGCGTTTCTGTCCTCGTGGCGACTTCCTCAGTCGACTTGCTTGGAGACTCCTTCAGGTGAGCTGGAGAGTTCCATGAACGCCATGAAGACTCGCTTGGACAGCATGGAGACTCACCTGGACGAGTATGGCATTGTTCCTTTGCATGGCTCAGGCACCACCAACACCAAGAACTGGTCCCGTGGCGAGTGGGAAGGCTGTGGCTGGGTGCTTGGCGGGAAAGGATGCTTGGCGACCCTCTTGCTTGCGGAGTCAGACTCTTTGAACAGCTCTCCTTCACTGGTGACGTGCGACACCAGCTGGACAAACCAACCCCTGTGACCACCGGAACTGGTCTGCGATATCCTTGGTGATCCAATTCACTGATTGTACAGTTTACATACGCGAGGAGTGAGTGGGTATCGACAACATAAGCAATCTGTGAGATTGCCTAGAATTTCGGGTGGAAAGCTGCCATGTCATGCATCGGGCTGCATCGGGATAACCACCAGGGACATCCGAGGACCAACTTTTGGAAAGATTAATTAAACATGGTTGTGGCAACAAGAGCACACATTGCATGTTCACCACCGCGGCCACCATATTCAAGTCTGCGTTTGGCGTCACCTCGGAAAACAACAGATCCATTTGAGGTTTCTCCACTTTTCTCCCATCCCAGGTTTGCCAAAGCTATGAAGCTCATGGAGGACTTGTTGGGATTTTGGTGCTTGATTTTCTCGTGGACATTATGATGTTGCGGCATAGGATGGAATGGTGCACCGAGAAGGATCAGAACAGGTTTTGAACGGTCGCAAACAACTCTGGGACGCACTGATAAAAGGTGGTGTTTTTGGATGACTTCATTTCACAGGAGCGGGCTCGGGTGCCTTTGTTCCTCACCTACCGCGCAGTGGGCAGTGGCACTGGACAGAAGGAGTTCGTGGGGAACGCCGCCAACATGCTTCTTGGGCACCAAAGGGGACCAAACGGAGGTGGCAGCGCACTGGGTGTGATGGGTGAAGACTTCTGAAGCGACAACGGGCCTCTACGCAACTATAATATCTACAAATACTACTGTATGACTCATGATGATTTTGAGACAAGGTGATGGCACGACCCAGAAAGGAGGCATGCTCGACAGCTCATTGGAAGGATGTGCAGTCTACCTTTACACATTCTGCTGGTATCCATGAGCATCCAGGAGTGAAGAAACTAGTTGACTCGTCTCGACCATCTTACCAACTGACCAAGTCCACTTTCTTGTCTCCTTACTCATTGGGATACATACACGTTGACTTGCTCAGCTATTGGATTCTCCAAACAGCCAAGCTTCCTTCCGTAGTCCCCAGGTACAAGAGCTACAGCCACTTCGGTGCGGGTGACATCCCCATGTCCTCCACCCACTATGGCACCTTGATGGGCCAGTCGCCACCTGAGAGCATGGCGACGGGCTTAGCTGCAGAGTGGGGAGACGGGTTTCTGCAGTTTCCCCATGGCTTCTCGCCAACCTGCGGACCTGCACTGACAGATGTTTCTTTTGTTTCAATTGGATCAGGCAGCCTCCCCATGCAAGGCAGTTGGAGGACCAAAGCTTTGACTTCATGGGCATCGGCCGGGAGGACTGAGACACCGAGACACCTGAGGTGCACATCCCATTGGCCCTCGGTGCCATTGCGGTGTTCCACTCCGTGCCGTCCAGCGAGATTGGCGGCGCCAGTTTGTGCCTTGGAACTAATCCGCCGTTCCATCGATCGAGGCAGGTGGACATAAGTCCAGCAACCTAATGGCGATGGCCTCCAAAATGGTTTTGTTTGTACCTACCTGTAGATCATGGACAAGGATTTTTTCGCCTTCTGGATTCTGGACCATCTTGAATCAAGTGTGCCATGAGCGCCTTTCATAGGCTTCCCTTGTGAGATTTTTGTTGAAGTGGGAAGCCCACTTCCAACATGGTGGGCAAACCGCAGCATGGCCACGTTGGCAGTCTGGACAACTCATGACGATTGGAGCTTCCGTTCCTTTGACAGGGCACTTTCCTTCTTGGATGCTTGGTCTGTGGAAACATTTTCGCTGCGAAGCGATCAACCTCCTTGGCCAGTACAAACATGATCTGAACGTATCTGCAATGAGCTTTCGGATTTCCTTGAGGGCTTCCCTCGCAGAGTGGCCTCAAAATCTTTCGAGAAGTGCAGTGGAACTCCAATTTCCTCGAACAGTCTCAGGCTTTTGACTTTTGAACGTTCACCCAGGAAAGCCCAAGTGTCCTCGAATGTTTTATACCGAGGAAGCTGGATGCCTGCTTGTTGGCCAAGATCTTCTCTGGTAAGGTCACCACCTGGGACCATGCTGATGTGAAGGCGTCTCTTGGTCCCTCAAGTCACTGGGCGTCGCCCGAACATAGTATTTATAGCAAGTATTCCATATACTGCTATATACTAGTAGCTTAGTAGTATACAGGCATACTATCTTTCTTTTTGAACGCAGATCATATACTCTACTTCTTTGTTTGAGCCACTGGTTGCTGTAATTGGTCGTCGTCATCCTGAGCGTATCCCCAAGTCAGGGAACGATTCGGTGAACAAAAGAGCGACAATTTCTTTTTATCGCTTCTTTCATCGGCCTGAAAGTCACTACAACCGAGTCTAGCGGGCCTGATTCGAACATCCTTCGGGCCGGGTATTGGGGCCGCAGGGTCAGCTGGTAATTAAAGCCTGATGTTGATCGTATCGAATTTGAGGCGGCATGAGAGAGAATTTGCAGAGCCATTTTGAGAATTATAGAGCTTTGTTCCAGATCATGCCACAGGCAATGGCCTTGGCTTGCATTTCAACTCTTATTGGTGCAGTTGTCACAGGTTACACGGTTGGGCAGTGTCAGGTATTGGGGCTTTGACAGTGCCCCGCGAGAAAGATTCGCTCGTCTTGTAGATGCATGCGTGACATGACAGCCCACGAAGGACAGGCTATCCGTGTATAAACGTAAGCTCATGCGAGTGCATACCACCAAAAACCATCAAACACCTACCCCTGCTTTGGGCCCACAAAAAGAATTCATGCCTTGATACTGTACTTGATTTGTATCCTTTTGTTCTCTCCAACTGGAGTGTCAGTCGTCCGAGGCAGAATGAAGGCATCAGTGTGCCAGCGGGCCAGAAGATTCGTGCCAGGGGGGGGCCCAGTGTGCCAACGGCCGCGTGCCGGTGGTGATTTTTGGGATCACCGGTTTTGAACATGTACCGATTTTGGTGTACAGCTGCAGCTTTCTTCTTCTACCTTGTTTCTTTACCGACATCCTTAAAGCATGAACATCAACAGTATGCTTAGTCCTTTTTGCTCTCTTTTTTTCTGCGCTTGCAGTGCCCCTCTTGAAAGAAACACTTACTGCCAACGTCTTCTGTGGCCTTTTTGGACTTTCCACCAGAGCCTCCTACCTCTAAGTCTCCTTCCACCCGACCATCTGGGAGCGGATCTGTTAGCCTCGATGGGTTGAGGTGAACCATCGCAACTTGGGCTCCAGCAGTACCGGTGGCCTCACCGGCTACCTGCAGAAGAAGCGGGGAAGCCCAGAACTTTGGCCCCGTGAAAGGGAGGAAGCCAACGTGAAAGGCCCATTGTGGTTTCCGTTGGCAAAACCACAGCCAGTCCAAACCCAGCCAACACGTTTTGAACAACCATGGGGCTCGCCCAGTCGCGTCGAAAATGGGTCGCCGACCCCTTTTCTTGGGGGAGGAGCTGGAAGACCAGAAGCCGGACAGGGATTGCTATAAGCATACACCGGCTATGTGCTCAAGACTCTGTATTCTTGATTCCTTTTACCCGGGCTTAGGCTACACTACGGACGCGCCAGTGTATGCACAGTCCTTGTCAGGAAAGCTGAGATGAGCTGTGTGCCTGAAACCTTGACATATCACACTGGTGGTGCTTGCTGCCGGCGGCGCTGCTATAACCATACACCGGCTATTTCCTCAAGACACTCTATTCTTGACACCTTTTACCAGTGCTTATCCTACACTACGGACGCCCTAGTGTATGCACAGTCCTTGTGATGCTTACCCCTCGTTCCGGCTGAAGGCATAGATAAGTGGGGGGTAAATCGACCCCCCCAGATTTGCTATCCCAAGTCCTCCCGAAACCATTCTCAGCATGAACTCTCATTTCAGGACCATACTGACCCAAAGGAAAGTTCCAAGACCATTCTCAGGACGGTCTTTCGTTACAAGGGGGCTAGGTGCACCATCACAAGGACCTTTTTTTCCACATCAGAGCGTGTTCTAGCGCATCCACCAACACATCATCACGCTCAGGATGTCCATCTCATCATGCATTCGCAAGTTGATGTAACCTTGGCGATGCACGGAGTTGTTCCCCAGTCACATCTGACATCTAGATTTAACATATGCTTCAAAAAAACGATTGCAAAAAAGAGGTCAAAAGTTATGACTGATGCTGAGATTGGCAGCCCCATGTAGAAACGAGGGAGCAACACTTGCTCCACATAGTTTTTGGAACAGGCATTGGCAAGGTCCGACACCTTCCCCACAAAATCTTCACTTTTGAACCCGTGGTAGAACCTGCTGTTTTCTCCTTATCATGTTGGCAACGAGTGAATCGCAATAGACCCTTTGGACTTTAGAAAATACCTCGCCTCAGACCACCCATTCCTTTCAAGAGCTTCAGTCAGAGGTGCAAAGGCTGTTGAAGATATAACCAAGTTTCTTTCGCTTTCTTCAGCGTGTAGGATTTCTTGGAAAGCCTAGGTGTCCATGGACTGTTTTAATGCAGGAAACATGAACAGCCGTGGTAGAAAGCGCGCAAAACACGAGTCGGTCAGAAACAATATGCACACAGAGCAAAAACGGAGGAGGGCAGAGGGAACGGACCAGATGCGAGGTCCACCCGAAGATACGCAGGCCACGGCGAGAGCCGCGAAGGACACAAACGCAGCGCCGGCGAAGGTGCCTGGACGGAAAGCCGGCAAGGAAATGTTCCAATATGCGTGTCCTTTTTGTGC